ATTAGAGTGGAAACTGTAGCGTATTTTTGGTGTTGTTATTTGTGTTTATTTAGTGGAAATAAGGACAAAAAGGCCGTTTTCTGAAGGAAAGTTTGATACGGATCTGTATATTTAATAGAAAACGGGCCGAATTTAAGCGAAATCGAAGGATTCCTGATATTCAAGCAGTTTCCTACGTTATTAAAGCTTTAAGATCGAAATTCTTTGTTTTACCTTATTAATCTGTTTAAGAAGATTAATAAAAGGAATAAATTTTTCAAAGCTAAGAAGACTCTTTCAATGCATAACAAATTGGATTTCATACTGAATAATTACATTTTACAATCCACCATAGATAACCTCGTCATGTCTATGTCTGACAGACTTTCTGCCGTTATTAAATCAAATGGACAATCAACAAAGTACTGTTTTTTTGTATCTGCTTTTGTCCTTAATTATTTTTGTCCTTTTATGCGCCTTCCTCCTTTATACGCCCTCATACGTAGACTTTATTAACTTGGTTGTAATATAGGCGTTTCTCGAAAATGTGACTTTGTCGAAAATTATTTATTTTATCTCAGTAAATAATATTTTCTAAACCACACTTTGCTTTATTTCTTTGACACATCTTTTATTTTCCGCTATCAGACTTTGGGAGCCGTAGTGTATACCGATTCTGCGTTAAAGTAATTTACCTGTGTTAATTCATGACATTTCATGAGTTAGTACAGGTACTGTATCTTTTGACGAAATAACTGGACACTATCGAAATGGTCCGCATCTACGGTGAGTTCCAGCATTTAACTATTCTATTGCATGGAGTTATTTTTGGTCTGTACAAACAAGTCCCAAGAAATTACTCCGAATTGAGGCAGGAGGGGTTCGCACTTGCCAAATCAATTCAGGGCTCGCAGTGATCCGACTACGTCACGCATCCTTCAGGTCTTGCCATCAATCCTACATGGTCATCACATAGTGTGTTTCAGTCAGCGTAAAGTGAATCGCGCCGCCGGCCTGCTGTTCAAGGTAAACACGTGAAAATTAACAGTGCGGCTTGGAAAGAGGCATGGCCTGAAGATTCATTCGTAACCCAAATTTTCGGATAAGGAAATAAAATCTTCAAAAATGAGAACGAGACAAGGACTCTGACTTGAAGGAATTAATCCAGCTATTACAGTAGATGCCACATTACTAAATAAGGGACCTTTTATCCTCCTTGGTTGGCAAAAGAGCCTGCTGATTATAATAAAATTCAGGTAGCAGGCTGCACCTTCACAAGGCCAAGTCATATAAGTGGTTGTTTTAAAGTGCGCTGTACTGCTGATCTGGCAGATTGCACATATTTGGAGAGACGCATGAGCACGATTCCATTCGCGAAGGTCAGTTTGAATCTTCCTCATTTACGACGGTCACAAGGGAAGGGCTTTCAGTGTGAACCGGATCGAGACGGGCTGATGGATTTCCTCACAGTTCTATTCGTCTGCCTGCTTCACCACCGCATGTATGAGGAGTTCGTTTCTCGGTTTTAGCCGGAAGCCAACCTACTTCTGCCCAACTATGTGACCGTCAGTACGTGCCCAAATATCTGTAAATGCGCCTCCTAGTTAAAAGTCACATTTATGTTTACCTTCTTCGCTAATTTTCCACATAAGCGGTTAATCCTTTCAGGCCAAAAGTCCATCGAGGTTCTATCCCACTGTGTCCAAATTATTAAGGGAAGAAAGGTCGTTCGCCGATTTTCTGATCAATATCAAAGCAAGTTTCAACTTGAAGTTACTTATATGTACTTTTACAAACATGTTTACTTTCTACTTCATAGGCACCTTCTATAATGGGGGGATACAGACTGTGCTTTTGGCGTAAAACACGGCCTGCTTATGTTAGACAAACCAGAGCAGTTTGCGTACAGCGCCGAGACTAGCTGACTCACTATAAGGATACCAGGATCACATAGCCTTGAAGTTTTGACCGTCTATCGACCACCGAGGGGTGACCCCGAGGATGACGCTCGTCTGTTAGAGGAGCTAGGACGATTTGCTTTCCTTTTTGACGTCCTGATCATGGGCGACTTTAATGCCCCTCTCATTGACTGGAGTTCACTATACGCGCGCGGCCCAGAACTAGCTTTCGACCGACGCTTCTTGGACATGGCACTCAGGTCATTTCACACTAAGCATGTCCTATTTCCCACGAGGGTGCGTGAGGGAGCAGCAGTCAAACTGCTTGGACCTGGTGCTCACGAAATCGATGGACAGCATAGATGAGGTGCAATGTCTGCCTCCCCTAGGTCGAAGCGATCACGTCGTACTTCAATGGGACTATTTAATCTTTTCCGTGCCTGTACAGTTCACCAAAATTAGAAGAAATATTTTGCGTAGGGACTTCGATCAAATGAAGGCCGAAATCAACAAAACAGACTGGGAATCAGCTTCCTCTGGAATTATAGCGGAGGATCGGAAATGGCTCAGTGATTTATTGCATGTTCTCCTGACAAACCACTGCCCGCTTTCACGGAAGGGGGTAAACACTCGAAACCGGTGGCTGACCCAGGTGTTAAAAAAGGAAGTAAATAAAAAACATACATTATGACAGGAATCTCTTACTGATGGGAATCCCGTATCCACATTAGTGACTCCTACACAAACTGGTCCGAACAGGCGTTAGAGGTAGCTTCTTAAAATGGATTCAAAGCTTCCTATTTCACCGTTTTCAAACTGTCCATGTCAGTGACCAGCAGTCGACAGAGGTTACCGTTGAAAGCGGTGTTCCCCAAGACTCAGTTCTTGGGTCTACATTGTTCATTATTTATGTCAACGATTGCGTTATTGACCTGGATTGTGATGTCGCCATGTTTGCGGATGATATTAATTTCCGGAGCGTCATTCCATTTGCAGATGACAAAGACCATTTGCAGACGAACCTAAACCGACTTCAACTGTGGTCAAAGAACTGGCTTCTGCTGTTCAATGCGAAAAAATGCAATATTCTACGATTCAGCAGACCCCGCTCCTCGAACCACATGACTTACTGCCTGAATGGTATACCACTGCAAGAAGCGGACTCACAGAAGAACTTGGGGAGTATGGATTATGACCTCGCTCAAACCCCCGCTGCATTGCACGAAGGTAGCCAAGTCTGCAATGTCAGTTCTCTACCTTGTCAAGCGGGCTTTCTCCGCCTTTGATGAAGACTGCTTCTCTAAAATCTTTTGAACGTTTGTGCGACTGGAACTGGAATTTTCTACTGAAGCTTGGAGACCCTGGACCGCGAAGGGCCTCAAAATCCTTGAAAGGGTTGAAAGGCGTGCAACGAAACTTGTGGCAGGACAGGGTTCACTACCACATACGAAGCGGTTAGCTAACCTAGATCTCTTTGCCTTGAGTTACAGTCAGATACGTGGTGACCTGATACAAACCTTCTGTATCATACGCGGTCAGGACTGCAGCATCGTACCGGGGGACTTCCTCGAGTTATCAACCACCACAAACCTACGAGGTCATCCATTCAAACTACCTGTGACCGAGGCCAGGCTGGACACCCGTAAGTTCTCCTTATCGAACAGAGCGCTAGAAGCTTGGAACGCCCTGCCTGTGGATGTCGTTATGTCTGCTTCCGTCGAGGTCTTTAAGAGGAACCTGGATTTGTATAGCAGTGTCCACTAAATTACCATCTAACCCCTGAACCTTGACGAATCCCGTTGTTATAATACCACTTTATATATTTCAGTAATATTTAAATTGAATTTCCTATTGTCTCCAACTCACCGCCCACGCCTACTGACATGCACCTATGCAACTTTTGTCACCGGGTATATTCTTTATTTCCCAGCACTCGAAACGACCGCTGTACTACTGCTCGTACCACTAACATACGAGACGTTTTGTTTATGTGTACAGAGTTGACGCCTCTCCGATTATTTGTTACCTTTATGATACCTTTTCCAGTTTTTGAAATTTTGCAATTGCTTATAAACAAATAGGGATTTGAAAAGTCAAGTTGGCGAACGCACGTTTTCGGTAATTCTTCCTCAGGCCAATACAATTACATGAAACGAATGCAAATGTACAAAATCAACAGTGTTTATAGATGCCTCAAGGGCTATTAAGTCACTAACACTCATCATCCCCACGCCGCCCGCATGAGAAGGTCGGCGGGTGTTAGTCGTCAGGGCTAGGGGAGGGGGGTAAGCGAGTCTTTGAGCAATGATCTTGGGTTGAGTACACGGAGTACCCATCATCGTGATTAGGGATTTGAGGCGGCATGGCTTCATCACTTGGGGTTGGCGTTGGCGTTGGCCACGGCAGCGAAAGCGCTTGTGTCAGAGTTTTCTGACAGCATAACACCGGATTCACTAACCGTATATATCCGTTGGCGTAGGCCTTTAGAGAAGCATGTTGGTGTCCGGTAGACAACCTGAAATGCTTTCTTGGCATCGACTCGGTGGTTCGTATCGATTAAATGCGCGAGAATAGAACTCGAAATCGACCGGGTCTCACCTCTGTCTAGCCAGGCGGGCATATGTTCGCGTACTCTCTTTACCAGGCGTCTCGTTGTGCGGCCGATGTATCCTGCTCCACAGGAGCAATTGAATGAATAAATGCACATTGATGTGGCCTCCAACGTAGGAGGGGAGAGTTTGTGAAGCATACGCGTAAATTCGCCGCAGGGAATGCCCTCGTGATAGCTGTAGTTAAGCGCCGTCGGACTAGTTCGCTCTCTGCGTCTCCTCTAAAAGGCAATCTTATGAATACATCTTTCTTTTCCGCAGTCTAAACAGTGGGCTTTTCAAAGGTGAAGACTTGCATTCCCCTCAATAAAACTGAACTGAGCAGATAAGACAATGAACAGTTATCTCAGTACATATATCTGTAGAAAAGTAAATAACAGTGAACTTTGGGACATTGGATCCAGTTGTTCTGCTTTTCACAAACGTCATGTTCTCGGTCATACGTGAATTCGACCGTTTTTTGCGGCGATGGGAGGATTCCAAAGTGCTGCATTGACTGCTCGCAGTTATATCATCAAAAGTTAATTTTGCTTGTGTTCGTACAGGTTCTCGTTTCATCCAAGTACGTCTTGTAGGTACTGTCGTATAGTTTCAGTCGGCCGGCGAGAACGTGGTGGAGCACACCGCAAACCCGACAGTCGACTCTTAACCAGGTCTGAGGGAGGGAAACACATGGACAGTGCTCAGAAGAATAGTGCAGTACAACAAGGCATAAAGTCAATGTCTGCACTTCTCCGAACACTTATTATTATGCACAAGTTCTGTCTTAAAAGAAACCACGGACAAAGCTTATCCGTCTTCCTTTAACGTAGACTAACTCAAGCATCGTGTCCACTTGGACATTTCTTATTCTCACGCAAAGGTGGGCACCACAGTTCCGCCGGTCGCTTAGGCATTCTCGTTTTTGACTGACTTAATAAACATGGTGATCGAGGAACCAGTAGATTTTCACCTCAGTGGTTAATCCTTTCAGACCGAAAGTCCATCTGGGTTCTATCCTATCACCCAGAGACTCCAAATTTTCAGGACGCATTACCTACGTGCACAAAATCCGACGTTATCGACAAGAGGTCCATGCGACCCACTGATTGTCCTCCTGTGTATTCAGCAAGTAACGGCCAAAAACATACATCACTGACTTCACCACGTAGGATAGACTAAAATACAGATATGTGAAAGTTGACGCAAACTATCCGACCCGATCTTACCAGAGGAAAACACTGAGCCATGCCGAAGGTAGCTTGCTCCCCTTTCATTGTGCAACGACAATTGACATCCATACCGGAGGTAGGCACGTGCCTACCCAAACAATCTGTCGGTCTTCATTCATGCGGACGGGATGGCGATTCCCAAGTCCAACGGAATCTTATGCGCCAAGTATAGGGAGTGCAGTATGCAAAGAGTGACTCAGCCAACACACTGCTACTCGCTTGCCAGGCGCTATGAGGACAGATCAATAGCATGGGTAAAATTTACTCCTGCGAAAAGGGAGCTAGGATTTAATATGAACCCAGAGTCCCAATTTATACCTTGGGTGATGTCTTCAACGGCCTCCTTCGCTCCCATTTTTCCGCAAAGTTGCATCATTTTCGCGCGCAGTGCACCGATCGGAATACTTAATTACTCACGGAGACCATTTGCGTCAAATAATTTGCTCGCAGCGCGGCCTCGTTACAGTAACGAAGTAGTCCAATTAGCGCAGCCAAGATTTCAGACGAACCTCCACAAGAAAGAAGAGGAGATGCCCGAAGCACAGCCATAACCTTATTTAGACTAGACTAAGAACTGCGCATTTTTTAAAAAATACAGTTGGCTCTCCTCGTTAGTCGATATGCTTGACAGTCGATTTCGATTCATTCTGTGGTTTGACTGATCAGCACGTAATTATTGTACGACTGTATGGCAGGTTCCCAATTATAGTGTACTCTTCATTGCATATGTCCCTCTGGACTGCTTCTTACTAATAGTTTCTATCAAAAATGTATGCAGTCAGAAGATAATAATGCTTAACTAGAGCCGCTTTTTAGCAAAGAGTGAATGTAAAACGGTCCCACCTTGAGCGCCTGCTCAAATACTACACCTTTCGCGCGTACAATTGACGGTCTGATTCCCGACCGATCACAACTATCCAGACTGACCGCTCAGCTTGAAGACTGGCGCAGGTACAAGCCCTCCCTCAAGGCGTCTGACGCCTTTTTCCGTGGCACTCGGATGACTGCTCTGTTTACGCTGGACGTGTGCCAAACCGCCAAATTACCTTTTCTCCGTTATCCTGCACAGAATGCACTGCTCTCTATACTGGCGTCCAAGTTCTCATCTTTCTAGTAGGGACCGGACCTGAAGGTCAGTAGGCAAGTGGGGTTAAAGTTACGCAAGTTCATGTGGTCTTGGATTTTCATTCAGGTTACTTCTCAGTCGCCAATAAATATTTAATGCACTTCCTACTGAAAGGTGGACACAATCTTTATAAATGACAAACCAGCACTTCTCCATGTTCTCTCCAGGCAAAGTAGGATGCATAAGCCGTGTCATTCTTGTCAAGGTAGTTGAGATAACTGGCCAGTTCTTTGACGGTCTTAAAGTCGTCTACGTGGATGTAGGAATTTGGGGGTGCACGAGCGTAGAATTCTTCTCTCGAGGCTCCATACACAATGGGCACCATGCCATATCTACGTAGGGAACAAGGCAAAGCGGTGTTTTACGCTGGATGAATTTGTCAAAGTTCCTCTTATGATGACATACTGGCACATCACCATTCTCACATTCTTGCCAGATAAGAACATGTTGCAAACTAACACTCACATAATACGAAATTGGGGCACATTCATACTGTTTTTGGTCGAAAGTTTGCCCTTTGTACGTACCCGCACAGTATTGCCAGTCAAGATAAAGTCTTTTGCCATACTACACTTGAGTATTTAATTGACCATTCTTTTACTTCCAATGAACACCGACACTGTCGTTGACTATCAATATCTCACGAGCCACTTGAAATAGCATCTGACCTGGATTGTAAGTATATTTGGCATGTGCTGCAGGAATCCAGATTCGTGTCAGGAGTTTGCGCTCGAATGAATGTGCACGTCCTTTTAGATTGTTCATCTCATAACTCACGATGACAGTTAAACTTTATTATCATATTACTAATTGAAGTCTTTGTTACTCAAACAGCTACCCAAAATAAAGTTTTCTGGTTTTTCAACAACAAAAGAAACAGCATCCATTGATTTTACTTGCATCTTCTGGGCATATTTTGGTCGTGCACTCTCATATTTAGTTAATATTTTAACCAGGGGAAAACGATTTAGAGTTATACCAAGCCAATTAAAAATGTATCTGTATCCCGTTTGATATCCTGGGGAAAATCGAGACAATTCCATTTCCTTAACTCGGTCATTTACAACGAAGGATATGGCCTTAAACTACGGGCTCGATAGAAGGCCTCGTCAGCAAATGTTGGTGGCTAGTGTGACCTGTCAAACAGAAGTTTTATTGTAGTAAAAACCGACTGGGTAAACAAGCGATAAATAACGATTTTGGCCGCTTCTGTCGGGCTGTCATATTGATTTGAATACTGTATGAGAGTTGGGGAGATATGGGGGTGTGGGGCACCAATCATTTAATTCGGTCAAAGTGCCTGATCATTCCCAGGCCTAAAACCGAATCCTGTGTAAGGATCCTGTGTCCTCTGCCTTCTACACCATACACTTCGTGGGTTGTTACACATGAACTTCTAGAAGAAGACGGGAAGGCGATCGCTGGGCTCTCACAAGAGCCCATCGTCAAGGGATGAAAAGACTGTAAAACTCATCAAATATTTAGCCAGCTGCGCTGCTGACTTGAGCACGCAGTGCTTGATTGGTGATTGGTATATCGATATGACGATCGATCAAGACCTCGGTAGGGTTCCACGCTTCCTGCGGTAGTCACGCAGCTACTACTACACAATGGGTGAAGTGAAAGTCTGCTCAGAACCTCGCACCTGGCCTAGATAGTGCCACTAGAAGCGAAGTGACGAGTCCCAGAAGAAGAAAACACGATCGTCGGGACAAGAGCTTTATTAGCCTGAAGTTTCGGATTCCTGCTCGAATCCATCATCGAGCAGGAATCCAAAACTTCAGGCTAATAAAGCTCTTGTCCCGGCGATCGTGTCTTCTTCTTCAAGCTAGATGGGGCGTTCTGTGCGCTGGGCGGTCCCCCTGACACTGTCCACGCGTTTGCCCAACACGGAAGTCGGATAAGGCTGCGCCATGCATATATCGGTCTGTGCACTCACAACAAGAGTCATCAATGGAGAACGAGGTAGCAGGCCTAGGCGCGTACTCACGCCGTACCGGCCATTTGCGCCCAATCAACGCATCAGATGGCTGGCCCATACGAAGAGCGGGATGGGTAAGGTGTAGTTTGGTAGACCCACTTGATAGACACAGCACTGTTGGGGTTGGGGTTAAGGGATAGATCTAGGGGTTATGGTTATGGCTTAGGATTCAGGATTAAGAGTTATAGTTAGGGGTTAGAGTTAGGGGTTATTGAACTACTTCTCAACCAGTCAGGGTAAAACAGTGCATCCCAAATAGCTTTTCTCTTGCATACAACTACTTGACCCCTACGCCTGTGCGTTCCCCAGCCACATCTGTAAAAACCCCTATCATCACCGGTCCCATATTACAGGTGGCGTGAGTTGTTTTTACCCCAGGTGGGGCTACATAAACACATTCGACCGCGGGCTGGTTTATGGGAGTGGGAAAAGGGAGTGGCTTTGATTAACCGAGCTGCTCTACCGCGGCGCTCAGCACGCATTCCTCATTATCAAAAATCTAACGGTCTGCGGTCTCCGTCATCTGCGGTCGTCTTGACTCTGTCTTGGCACTGGGCTCAGGCGGGGGAGGAGGAGGAGGAGGAGAGAGTGTGGTAGATGCAGCGCAAGTCTACTGGCAGTATAAACCCCTGCGAAAGTCACCATCCTTGCTCCCACCACTGCTGTGGGGCATCGTCAAAATCGACGGTCGAACTGTCGTGTGTGTGTGGTATGTGCAAACGGCATATTTTGATCTCTCAGCCACTGCTCCCTATGCCACCACTCTACTTCTTGAGACTTTTTCTTCCCACCGGCCTCGGGTGAGTGAAGCAGGACGGAGTGCGGTCGATGCTGCGCTTATCTACTATCACTACAAACAAATCCACGTGCAAGTCACTGTCCTTGTGCACCTCATGTTTTGAGGTGTACGTTTAACATCATCGTTAGCCACGATGAAACTGTCGTTAGACATTTTGGATGTTTTCGATGGTGTTCTTAAGGACTCAGAATTCTGACAAAGACGCCGCCCTTTTCCTGCATCCTCCTTCCTTATTTGTTGTGTCACTCGACTGCCTAGTAGGCAACCATAAAGGGATCCTCCACCGCCTAATGGAGATTGATCTACTAGGGACGCCATGCAGTCACAAAATCAAGTCTTAAGCCCTAACCAGGTTTAGCCTTGAAGGATTGGTCATCTTGTTCTCCTCTTTTTACTTTCTTTCATCTAATGCTGGAGCCACACTTCAGCAAGTAATCAAGAGTGCTTTTTATGGATTTCGCTGTCATCGTTCCTTTCTTAGTCCGCAATCACACAGATGTCTTTGTGGGAATGGATCTATTTGGCATCCTTAAGTGCTGCATGTTGGACGCATGTTTGTTGCTCTCCAGTACAATTTTCGCTATGTCCACAGAGTGAATTTTTCTTCTCTTCTGGCGTAAAAAATAAAACTTCACGAAATCCCCTTACCCTGGACTCCAAAGCGCTACGCTACACGAACTCTATTCTTCCTCCAGAATGCAAACGTGAATCCAAATGCCTCGTGACTTTGAATGCTACCAATTTTCGTGAACAGGGCATGACTCCAGGGTTCAGATGTTAAGACACCTGCATCAAGTAATTTGACAACGTCCAGTACACATATTTGAGATTCAAAAGATCTATAGGTGCCCATTGTGGCACCCCGTGTCCTTTTTAGTAATAATTCTCGATCGATGGTGTGATGCATGGGAGTGGCATCCAAGGCGGCAAGCAACCAACGCGTTCCGGCATGGTTGATTTTTCGACTTGAAAAAGGTCTTCCGCACTAATTCTTTGCTCAGAATCTGCCAAGTTTCCTTTTCTGGGTGCTTTCTCCCTGTCTTCCGCACGACGTCCGGATGATTCTGCGCAAGGAACTGTTCAAGGCAGACGGATACTGTGACTGTAGCGGGCTACGAGCCCCCGGTGTTCCGAGTAGGATATAGTTGTGAATCTTGTGTGAATTTCTTCCTTGAAAGACGGACATTCGTAGCATCTAAATCGCTTCGCACTTCGATGTCGAGGTAATTTCAAGAAGACTGGAGACGAGCGCGGACTCAGTGGTTGAAAAGGCCAAACAAGCCGTCTGCGCGTAGCAAGCATGACCTTGTCCCCAAAACCACACGCGCAATGCCTCAAGGGTCACACAGCTCAAACAATGACGCGTGTGCCATGCAAGCCATAGCGAGAAGAAGTCATGGTGGGTGGATTGTTAGTCCTGAACAGGACCACCTCGTCCGGCCGGCCAATAAGCCTAAAACCTGAATTGCATACGTGCTGTGCTGGTTTAAAGAAAAACGTTTGCGGAATTATTTGGATCTGCTTTGGATAAGAATCGCCTGCTTAAGTGGGATCGCAATACTAATTATCGCCTAGCCTGAGACCAAGATACATCAGTAAGGCCTAGGTTCCGGTTTCGGAAGCGCCGCTTTTGACCGCCTGCGGCAAATCCAATCGAGGAAAAGCGACTGCATGAGCGGTATGACTCTCTCCATTAATTTTCAGTGTCCTCACTAATTCAAACATATTTTTCAGAAATCACATATAATGGTCATCGTTTACACTCATTTCTTAACATACCACGTCCTCTTCAAAGATTGACTTCAGAAACTTTTTTTTAAATATCGAAATAATTTTGAACGCAACCTGCGGTTACTATTTCATTTAGAGTTTCAACACTGGAGGCCGCATTCTCTCTATGTAAAATAATCCATATTCGCCCCTATGTCATCAAGACTATACTGTGTAAGGCTTGCAAAATTCTGGAACAGACGTGGTCTATATTGCGTAATTTATAAGTAGCATAAATAGATGGACAGGTATGCTGCTATGGGAATGGACATTTCACCGTCTCAAAAATCCCTTTATGAAAAACATCTCAAAACCGAAACACAATCTCTCATCAGATTGATAAATTTTGAAGACGACGTGTTTGCTACTAGTTAGTGTGGGAAACGATTTTTTACTTATACTCTATATAACAGGCACTCAAATGTGGGAGACCATCGAAAATCAATGATAAACATCCGTACTAAGTAAGTAGTAATCTGCTCCTTTGTTCTTTTATGAGGTTAGCTGCCTTCTTTCCGGTGATGAATCACCTACAAGTATTCGAGCTTCCATGTAAGTGAAATTCTACGCCGAGAGAACTGACGGCAACTAGTCTCACTGGGGTTTCCACCTTGTTATACACGATTTTCATAGGTATTGGGGCCTAGTACCTCAAGTGGTTAGAGCTTTGGCTGGACTAAAGCCTTCCCCTTACTGCGTAGGTTCAAATCCCACCGAGGCGCCGAGTTTTTCACAGTTGGGTCAGTATGAATTATTCAAAATCTGCCAAAACGTCTATGACTTTTTAAATGTTTTGTACGCACTTTCCATGATACTGGTCTTTGTGTTCTTGTTTTTCTTTGAATTTTGGATTGACACCGTTGAGCGAGGACCTAACGAGTTAAGGCAAGAGTCAGACGACGTACCGGAGAGGACTTCTGACAGGTCTACTAGCTGTGTATCATGAGCGCACGACCATGTGGATACTAACGAACTGTCAGATTTGCCTACTTTGCCTATCTATCCAGTCAAGTCTTAACAACAAGCATTACATTAATCAATCTTTTTTCACTACGGCCGAACCAAGTTGGTAAAGTGGATGCCAGCGGGATGAAAAATAACTCCGATTCCGTTGAACCTGGAGGGTCGTTGGAAAAAAGGACGAGAGCTGCCGACTTTGGAGGGTCCATATTCAGAAGAATGTAGAAAGAGCACAGACTCAGACGTTACAATAGAAGTCAATGTCCTAAAGAAACCGAATTGTCCGAATAATCATCACCGTATTTTGTCAACTTGTCACATCAACTAATAAACAATCATCGTCTCGCTAATGTGCAAGCCATTTTTTATCGTCTTCACCTTTGTGCTGTATATTAACAAATTCTGTTCAAAAAATAATTACCGGAGTTTTATGAACTCTTTTTTGGAGTTTCTGAGTAACATTTCTGTTGATTTTCAGAGCTTTCAGTGGGACAGGCATAATACCTGGGACTTTAGACTTATAACTAACAGTTCACTACTTTAAGCCTCAAAGAATGCATACCGCGGAGTTGGATACGATTGCTGAGGACGGTTAAGGAGTTAGAAATGTCCACTTCGGTTAGGCTAGTCTGCTCATCTTACGCGCCACCGCGTGGTTTCTGGTGGGGCTCGCGAGATAGCCAAAAGGCACGACGGGAAGACTGAGTTCAGTAACGCGATCAGTGCTCGCCCCACAAACATTTTAATGTGTGTAGCCATTAAAAGAAGTGACAAGACGCTTCGTCACATCCCTCTTTCTCCCCAAAATTCATCCTCAATGTATTTAGGAACATAGCTCTAGATACTTATTCTTCAGTGCATATGTAGGCTAGTAAGAAGTTCACCGATCGTTCCATTATACGAAAGGACAGTATGCGAACCCTTAATGACTGTTTAAGCGTTTGTAATTTAAAAATACAAGAGTGACGAACTTCAGACATACCAATGTGTGTCCTGGGTCTCTGTCGTCCGTCATGCTTGTTAAAATTTAGCATAACTGATCTTCCCCAACACAAAACTTGGTCCTTTTTGAAAGTATGAGTGCTGAGGTATTTACGTAATGATCAAGTCCACGTTGCATGAAATCCATTCCGTATGGCTTTTGGTTACAAATTCCACTACGCACCATCTGTTCCAACTGAGATAACTGGGAAATTCAGCAGGACAGTCTGAGAGAAAGAAATGGCTTGCTGGAACGAATCGAGGATGCTGTTGATTATTTGGCAATGCAAGTCCTGGTGACCCCGAATGAACACAGTCTGGCAAACTCATGGACAATGAAACAGTCCCACTGAGCGAAGACACACGAGGAAAAAATTCTGCTCAGGCTTCCCGCTTCTGTTCGTGACCTGTCTGAGTTTGGCTGAAGAGATTGCATGCTCTGTCCACTTAAGTTGCTGACCGAAGGCTCAGTTACAATAATCACTGTAAACTGTAGAAACATGAAGTAGTATATAGACGACTCCATGGCATTCTTTGAGACAGTCTCACGCACTAACGGTGGACCGTGTGGCAACATTTCGCCGAACATTAGAACTAGAGAAGCGGTCACTTGAAGGTCAAACACCATCCCCAGCTTCTATGACAGGTGAGTGAATAAATCAAGGGCTTTCCAAAGAGGTCCTGTCTATCAGTAGTAGTGAAAATGCGATTCCTGGGTGGCATGTCAAAAGAAGAGAAGGCGTTCACCGGGAGAGGTCCATTGGAGGTCTGACGTTTCAAAAACTCTTCAAAGCCAACGGCCACTCGCGGGCATTCGTTGGACGGAGCCGGAGGCAACCACAGGAGCGGGATGAAGAACACAGTCAGCTAAAATTCTGACGGACGTGGTTAGAACTCTCGCGTCGCTCAGGATAGGCATTGCTCACAGGTCCAACTCGACAATCCGCCAGCAAGTGATGCGGCCAAAAGACCCCATCCCTAAGCAGGAGATGTACGGTTGTTATCTAGCGACTTCAGTGCAGCTGCAAGAATAGCAACTACGTCGGAAAAATCGGCCGACGGCTTGAATGACGAATATATGAGCATAATTTGGCAGTGCGAAAGATGGACTCAAAGTGTCGCGCAAATGGGAAACGTCTTCATCTTTGAGATCGTTGAGGTTGTGGGCCGGGGTGATGATTATACAGCAAGGCAGGTTCAAGAGGCCTGGATTTCCACCGACTGCACTGTCAACCGCCACATCACTTTGTCTTCCCTTCTTGACTTTACGAAGCTTCTTAACAGGGGCAGTCACGACGCGGAACAATCGGGGCCGTCAACTATCTCCTCGGCCAACGAGGGCGGGGGCGATTCAGGTCACGGTGACATGCGGGTCGGATGCAGCCACACAGGCGACATTGGCGTGCCGCGCATCAAAGTTTACCATATAAGGAGAGGTGTGCGCGTGACCTCCCGGTCTCTGAAGATGGGTAGACGAGGCAACTATTCAAAACACCAGACCGCCAATAAACTCCTCCCAGTGAACGCCTCCTCTCCTTTTGATCCTGTCTATTATGCCTGACAGCTGATAGGGTGGCTCGCCAGATTATGCACTTGGTATTCGCCAAGTGTCAACGTATTTCTGAACTCGTGATGTCCACGAAGTCTTTGTAGTTGTCACAACTAATCGCTCTGCGCGTCTCAGGTAATTACTGACATTAGTTGCCCAAATTATTAATCCTACAGTGGAAGAGGAATGAGTCAGTTTCCCTTGCTTGGTGTCTTCGATCCCCGAAAATTTACCGTAAAAATGCGAATCGCCATATTCAAGAAGTCTCCAGCAGCAAGTGAGTAGGTCACTTCAGTAGCAGTAGCCTTCTGCCTCACAGACATAACCACCCGAACCGCACAGCACAAAACTGAAACAAATCGCTGCTCACCAGTTGACAAATAAACTGAACGAGCATACCCCTGTGATCTGTTCAGGACCAATGGAAACCAAAGCCTATTTTATCTTGCAAAATAAATACAGACAGAGACAATTGTTCTACATGTGACAGCATCCTCAAACCTGAAAACCCGTTCAAAGCATCAAAGTAGTTCCCCAGGCTGTTGAATGACTATTTAAACCCATCAATATAGGCCCGGGGGGGGGTTAACGCCCGTGTCTAAAAACTAGCAACGGGAGAATTGACATCACCCTTGACCTTAGTGACAGCTACGATGGTCTGCGCCATGCAGTCTGGCTGCGTAGTGCTTCGCAGACGTGGGTGAATGGGCGGAGATTGCAAACTCTGTCTGATTCTACCACCTCAAGCTTTTGCGTATTACACAGCTCGCGGCTAGTTCAAATATCCATGTGACGGCAGAATCGATCGTGTCAGCTTGTTCTAGAAGGTGATGCACCTTACAGGGTAGACAATCTGCCTATCGATAAGCCAGACACCACAATTACCTAATCTTCTATCTCGCCTGCAACAAAAGGAAGCACTCGCATGTTTCGTCTTCTGCCTCCGATTGGTGACCTGCATTTTATATTCGAACCAAAAGTAGGGACTCAACCTAGTTGACAATATGTAGTTATTATGTCCGTCTAACGTTAAGTAAGAATCGAGATAGACGTAGATGACAAACAATATGGGCACTTCATTCAAGCTCCAGCCAAAGTTCAGAGAGTACCTATTTTCTTGTTCTAATTTTAATCCTCCTCCTTAACCCAAACTAATCCCTGAGGCCCCTTGCATTTAGGGCACGTCCACCATTAATACTGTGGTCAATATTTGCTTGTCCGACCGAAAAAAATTGAACACATGAGGACTTACGCCAGGGCGTTCACGAAAAACTTCTCCGTGATGTAGCCTTCGCAGTTGGCGTTCTCGAAGGATAGATAGAACTTGTATTCTCGAGATAACTGTTCAAAACAGTACCCCGCAAGTGGGCAGTGTTTGGCTCTTCTCCCATACCTATCCACCTAAAACGGAAAATCAACATGTTGGCGGAATTTTTTGCGTTCAGAGCAAAGCTTCTTTTAGTCTACATAAAGTGAGACCTGTCCAATGCGTTTTGCAGGGCTATTGGGGTGAAGGTTGAGCCCTTAAGAGAGAAACCCCGCCAACAGAGGGTGGCCTACAGAATACACAATAGTCCTTATCAAAAAGAAGTCTTCTTTATGTTTTAAACTTTCTGAAAAGAAGTCTACAGATATTTGAATCAGTTAGAAGTTGAGTTGATTAGAATAAAGGAATCCTGGTTAGATTTCAGAAATCTAGAAAATCTAAAAAGGTTTCACCCCGAATGTGCAGAATAAAATTTGCTGGCCTGAAACTCTCAGACGTACTGCCACTCACATCTGGACAAATGCTCATCAAGCTTACAGAACCAGTTAGTGATTAATATTCCTTTTTGTGGTTATCTAGACACGATGCTGCTGAGTAGACATAATATATAAAAACGTTAGATCCTAGGACAAAGTTGAGAACAGCGCAGCTCTTCCAAAATGCTGAACCTACTGACTTTTAACTTCTTTTGCTGTTAATTGCATGTCCATTAAAGGCAGTGGGGACTGAGCAATGAAACCTAAGTCTGCTCTCTTCGAAACAATCTCATTAAAGTCCTACTAGGTATCCTGTGTATGAAACGTCCTTCTATTCAGTGTCCAAAATTGCGCCACAAAACGGTAGCCGGAGAGGTCAGGAAAAAAGACTCTGAATATTGTCGCTTTGCAAGGCTGACGCCGAGAGTAATGCTATAAGACAAAGACCATGGTTGGCAGTCGGGCGAAATTTTAATGAAACACGCCAAGTATGCTGGTGGACTACGAGACGGATAATGACATTCGCGTGCCCTACCCTGCCAGTGAAGACCCTGTTCCAACGATTTACAATCTTCCTTGCAAACTGCCGCTCGAGATTAATAATGGCACTCATATATGGAGGCCGATTTTAGAATGAGGTCAGCTATGTCGTGGTAGTTTCTGGCAGTCCGTCGCTTCTCGTTTTTCCGTCCAGGTCCGCTGAGTTCGTTAACAGTGTGTGCGCTTTAAGTACTGTTTCGTGCGGTATGCGCTGGAGGGACGTGTAGGGACCGTCCTAAACAGTTTCACAACAGTAATGAGTGCACGTTACAAAATTCACACGAATAGGCCTTGCCAAAACATGCATCGTCGCTTTTGAATGTGGTAATTTAGAAGTCAAACTTCCAAAGCAAGCAAAATGCCCCCTGGGGAGATGGAGACCCGATTGTTGGAGGAATATGTTTATTCCTCGGACGTTTTGAATGCGTACACTGATCTATCAGTATATACATATAATCAGGTAAGTATGTTTTGCACAGGCAAGACTGTTCCAATAGGATGCAGCTTCTGTGCCACTCCACTCCTATCCTAATTAACGGCTACCGCATTCGACGCCGAACGTGGAACATGATGCGATAACTGCTGGACTGCCAGCGACTGAGTCGTTAATCGCCGTGGTTTCATTTTGCGTGCTTGTTGTGGGTGAGTCAATTTCTCTGACACCGACAGTGGTAGTGGAGACAGGACCCGACCGTTGGCTTCACATGTGCCTGGTTACTCTGCCCAGACAAAGTCTCTGTTCTGTGCTCTAACCGAAAAAGCGATTGCTACGCGTAAATTTTAGCATAATTTACTGCATCACAGTCTTGTGAATTTTCCAAGTTACCTATATTCATAGACCGAAACGCTGATATAAGATGGCATTGCTTTTTTTCAAACGCTTCTGTAAGATTTTCAGAAGCTAATATTGAAAATGCATATTAGGCACTTTGACGATTGCATATTACTGCTCTCATCAGTATATACTGTACAGATATTGAACCGTTTGGTCTTACCTCAATGTACTTAGCAATTGCGTTGCCAAGTTTAGTGCGGTTATTCAAAGGTTCGTTGTCGGAGACCGCCCAGGCGACTTTTTTTGTCCTTCTTAAATGATGTGCCGGTAGAAGATGAATGGAGTTTTGACGACGCAGGCGTTCTCGCTGTGCCTCCGACATGACACACTCTGGATTATTGAAGGCTCGATAGACTCCATAGTAGTATGGTACCGTAGCGTAGGGATGATATGTAATAAACATTGACAACTGTTGGAACGAAGTGAAAATAATGCTATCAACCACCTGTCTTATGAGAGCAACCAATAAATATCAAGCGATATTTGGAGTGAGAGGCATTTTCAAGTAGAGAATTGACGAAACGCAACTATGGTTTGGCGTTAGGGGAGCGTCAATTTTATAAAAAGAACTGTGCATTGCCTGAGTCAGTGAATAAGTTTAACTGAAGTAAAACCCCTGACGGGGGTAATTCAATGCGCTTGTTTGTTTAACCAAAAGCAGAGACGCCAAGGCATCGACTGTAACCAGCCGTTGTTGAAATACCTTCAGCGTTCCTATTTTTCTATCCAGAGAATTTGTTTGGGGCAAGCACATCGCACAATCTCTCAAAAATTGTGCGGGAGATGCTACGCAAGCCCCCCTACTACTACGAACAGGTCGCTGTCTCTGCTCTCACATTGTCGCGGAGCGCATAGTTGACATTGGTTGAAATCGACGGTTGAACTGTCTTCTGACCAAAGGGAGCGTCTGCAGACATTAAATCATCGACGAAAATATTTCACTTTGATTTCCCCTCATGGTGAGGTCGCCAGTAAAGACTATCTGACTTGAAGTAATATTTCTCCGGGATGGATTTGAGAAAAGCATAGGCAGCAGAATTTATTGAAACCAATAAATTTCCCAACAGTTTATCAATTGCAGCCTGTCGTTGTATAACACAGACAGGAAATGATAAAGATACAGAGATTTGTATTTCCATTGGGGAAATCAATATAAAACAGCAGGGTCGTCATATACTGCATGCAGAATAATCAACAAAATAGTAACTTGAAAACGCAACATAGGAAAGAAAACGGAGAAGTTAGCACGCAGAGGGATTGCGCAAATCAAAGGGCTCAGATATACCAGGGCAAGCTGAGGCGGACTAAGTGGTCTAACTGTTTACATAGGTCGAGTTTCTATCGCCGTATGTAGGCTGCCTCCAAGTGACGCAGTATCCGCCTTGTTCGTGCTCGAACTAATACTCGAAAAGATGTTTTGGGGTCAACCGAATGACCGCAATCTAGGAGGTGCGTTGTGATCGAAGACCGCGCAATTTTATTCTACTGCTTTAGAGGCTATTTAGACAGGTGCTCAACTGACCTGGCTGACAATTGCCTTTGCGTTCGCCCAGTGTATTTGCATCCACCAGTGCATGTGAATTTCTAAACACAATTTGATTTAGCGTACAATGGCAAGGCATTCTTTGTCCATGGAACTTGGAGATAGCCTTAGTAGGGCTGCAGAATATGAGTTCGGCTGAGTTGTATGTTCTTTCAATGGCGCCTCTCAATCGTCTCTTGATGGTATTTGAGATATTGTCACCCTTAAAAGGTAAGGATATTACAAAGGGCTTTTCGGAAGTGATTGCTCCGTCAATTTTGGCCGTAAGGTGTTGCTGTACTTTTCGATGAACCGTGTTGGATATCCCCCTTTAAGCAGCACTGTTTTGAGGCAAGACATTTCAGCATCCAGTGGTTCTTGCTCTTTGGAAAAGAATTTAGACCAGGTTTCGCTTTCGTTCTATCGGCACAAGGCTCAAGAGGTGTAGGTATCGACCTTTCCACGTATCCTTGCCGAAAACCGATCGCCTTATTGAACCATCTTCCTGTATAGTCATGAGGACATACAGGAAAGGTAGCTTGTTACACTGTCTGGACTATCACAATGGACAGTATAACTGGCGAAATAATAAAGAAATGCAGACAGAAACGGTCGTTTCTGCACTAGTTACCCCCGTCAAGTGGTCATTTCCGAGGCCTTACCGGACGAGTATTTCAACTGGCCCTCAAGCAAAAGCACTACCATCGGCAAGCGCATGCTTTTCCCGTTGACTGCGATCGGGAATATGTGAACCCTTAAAGAGGAGACGTATGCCCTTCCCTCAGGTATGATAAATTGCCGACGTGAAATAAGTCTCCTAATTTGGCGTTCTTAGACCACTTGTTATGTATACTCATCCTGGTCCAGAAAAATCTGTGATCTTTAATTCGGACATAAGACAAATTATATTTTATAGGCCATACATGGGTTGCCAGGCGGTTCGCCCAGTTTTTTATTTTCGGTGAAGTTGGTGAGAATCGATTTTTTGCGCTGTAGATGCACCGATTACAAAAGCTTCGAAGAGTCTGTTTAATGGGTTCTTTGGCAGATCTTGAGTAAGTCGTTATGACAAAATTGCAAAAAACTCCGCGATCTCGGTGCGATTCAAACCTGCGACAGTAAGACAAAACTCGAGCACAGCCAAAGCTGTAGCCATCTGAGATACGAGGCTTATGCCGGTAACTGTGGGTTTAACAACATTTGGGTCAAGTTACGCGTCCAACACTTTAAGATCTGCATGCACTTTGTGCTGATATCCATCTTGAGGACAACTTCTCGTCTGCGCTCGGCATGGCTCAGGGTAGCGCTTCATTTGGATTATGGTGGAATTTCCAGTCCCAGATTTGAGATAAGTACCTGATGAGTATTCGACAGAAGACGATGCTATTACTACAAGTGCGCTTTGGTGGCCTGACTTCCGATAAGTACCCAGTCCAGCCATTACAAGCAATAAACGCGAAGATGTAACCAGCCAGTTCCTTTGCTATCGAGGTTGCCGAATACAGTTTCGAGACTGAACGCTCGTGTTCTGTGCTAGTCCTTGCCGGTACAGTTCCGCCGCTATTGCGACTTATCTGTGTTCCGACGGCCAGTCACTCCCTCCTCCGATAGCCGAGTGCACCTACTCGTGCACTGAAGTCATCTGGAAGAGTCAGCCTCGACGTTTTCGCTGCAAACACGAGGAGAAAATGCAAGTCGACGTAGAAAGTGTTTATCAGAGGGAGCGTAGGTGCTGATGCTCGTTGCAGATTTCCTATCAGCGAGTGAAAGGGGCTTTACAGTGCGTCAGTCTTTCATTGCATTCGAGAGGGAAAAAATGTTCCTTACTATGCCGTATGCACTAGCGATGACGTCTCCAACCATTCACCATGCGTCCATCGAACGGCCACTCCGGAAGAAAAACTGATCACATGAGGCACCAGGCTGGTTCTAAATATCAGGTAACCGCAAATCCAAAGTGTAACGGCTTCAATATAGCGGGCTCCAAGTTGACTACTCGCCTCTTACAAAGGCGGCCAGGACGAGTTCGAGTACCAAGACGTCCACGAAAATAGCACGTAGCTGATCACGATCGCAAAATATGTATATTTAGTCATTCTTCGAGTGTGAGGGTCAAGAAAGTGACAGTATGACATCGGGATGCATAAAATAAAATCTGGTGACACGCAGAACACCGGTTACCTCCAAACGTCCACGCACACACACCTAGAAAACCACTACGAAAAAGTCACAATGGCGCGAGAGCACATCAATCATCTCGATGAACCCATTTGCCAAAATGCCAAGCCCGCAGACTTACTTGAGGGGCTAATAAATCCGAGCTGGCCAGCAATGGTCATGGCGCTCTGCATAATAGACGAGCACATTTAGGCAGTAACTTTTGCACTTTTGCTTTATGTTGCATTTATTATTCCTTAAATTCACGGCATAGCACGTCACTTCAATGAAAACTGAAAGTGATTACCCGTTTTTTCGTCTTCTCCGAGATCCACGGCCTCCTATGCGGCGGTTCTGCGCTCTCAAATGCCCACAGTGCATTACCTGAGTGGATGTTTGCATTTGCTGGTGGATTCGCCGTAAATACTGCTAGTTGGGACTGTTTTAGCTGGCTCAGGTCGGAAGTGAATCTACATCGGAAATCGCAGCCCTCTGGAAATGCCGGATGGTAAGCGAGACGATTGTCATAGAAAATTAGGGGTTGTTTTTCTTCGACGGCATCACCGGATATCTAAAAAGACATGGGGGAGCGACTAAATAATGGCAGAATGACCTCCTTCTTACAATATATAAGGTAGTTTGCGTATTTCATGAGATATTAAACAAAATTCTGAAGTGTGATCTCGCTTGAAAATTATCACCGGATGGGGGTGTAATACGGATTATTATACAGCATTATTCAAAGACACTTCAGTAACAACAGAATGTCGGTCATTAACTGGGCGTTTATTCCGCCAGATACAACAGTTCTAATCGATTCTCACTGGCCTAGCAGGCACAATGGAACGGGAAATATAGAACAAAACTCGTGGTAAGTCAGGGGAACATGGATCACTGTATCCCAGGCGGCCTTGGGCTAAATTCCAGGAGGGTGAGGGTAAGGGTTTGAGCCGTGTGGTTCGAGGCTAATTCTAAGACAAAGGAATAGGTACCCCACTGAATTTAACGCAGGCAAACTATATTACGTTAGGAAACCGATATTCCCATCTGCGACCCAACCTTCCTTTCCAAGCCTCCGCGTCTGTCGCAAGCAAAACGACCGGCTAGCAAAAGCAAGAGATCTAACCAATCAGAATGCGTCAATGGAAAGATGCTGAGATGGCCAACGAGTTGGTTACCACGGTTGAAAATTACTATCCTCAGCATGCTTTACTATACAAGGCTTGATGATTTAAGACATTGAGTTTCCAATTTTTGTCTTTTTCACACCGGGCTAATTTGTGCTTATTTCCTCTGTAAATGAGTTAGAATCTCTCTGTATGTTTGTGTGAGGGGTAGGCTTAAGTAGTGCGGCAATTTGAGTAAGGATTTTACCTTTGTTGAACAGAGTTAATGCCCGAGCGCCTGCGGTTGCGTTGCGAACAATGCGGGTATGTTTCTGAGTCAACTTTCGTTTACAAAATTCAGCCAGGGTGTCAACCAGATGAAAACTTAAAACCGCCAAAAGTATACTTCCTCTGCGCCATGACGACATTGCCGGTGCTTTAGGTAAAAAGGTGTTCGGGCAGAGCAAATTGTGACTGAAACTTGCGCTTGCAGTGGGGGCAAGTTAAAAGGCCTCCTTCAATATTACTACTATTCTGATGCATAGTCTGTGGGATAACAACATTCCTATTGTGATGCACGTAAATATACCCGCCATAATCATTTCGGATCTTAAACTGGCAAACGTTGAACGATAGACCCCAATTAACTGAAGGTATACTCTGGATTGTGTTACACCGGAATGATGATAATAGGGGGGTTACAGTCGGGGCTTCACGCAGGAAAGTAAGCTAAGGGAGACGTGGGAATCTACAAAAGACAGTCGGTAACAAAACGATACCTTTGATCAAAAATGATGAATGTATGCAGATAGGGTATCCGACTGGATATTCTATGGTGTACATTTTTGAGAGAGTGCCCTTCTATAGAACAACTGAGCTTATTCCTTAACTCGTGCTCAGTTAATCCCCGTTGTTTGCTTCTCTGCTCTTGGGTAGAACTGCCAGTCATCACTACTTAACTAGGTCCTTAACCCTACCGTCGCCCTTAAACTTGCTTTGACAAGTTGTATACACGAACTTGAGAAGGTTTGCCTGTAATATGGTAGCTTGGATTGCTAAAAGATTCCCCTGAGTTCGGGGAATTCAGTCGGTTTCGAAGTACGCTGGCGTTGCTTCCTCGACGGCATACTACAGTAGATGTGCTAACTCATGAAATGTCAACCAAAATTTCGAAATGCGTTCTCGTTTCGAAAAGATAAATTAAGTAGTGTTGCAAAACTAATCATGATGCAGCATAAATCTATAATGATCCAGTTACCGCAGGGTGCCGGCTTTCGAAAAAACTTATTTTCGGCTGCATGCAAGGTCTATACTCTGCAAAAAATGACTACTGGAGTAGCATGCAATTTTCTCATTGATTTTCGATGCCCTTGAAAATTCAATTATATTTCATGGAAAACATGCATGAAAATATTCATTCTGTTACTTATTCGGTAGAAAATCACGTCTTCTTCCAACTTCATACTCAAAAGAAGAGTATAATTCGGTTTCAAAAAGTTTCTAATTGTGAGATTTTTTAATACCGTTAAATGGCCGTTCATGAAACGTCATGTATCTGCACTTAAGAATATGACTTTTAAAGTTAACAATATTGTTCAAATCCACTGCTTAATTTTATGAACCTCATATGGTCTCCTCTTAACACCGTAGAGAAATGCATCGTTTTCCGTACACGGAAAATATACAGCTTGTAGTTTTGAAACCCTGAATGAATGTGTAACAGCAGGTCGAGTTCAAAATTATTCGGGAATTAGAAAAGTTTTTTAAAACCGAATTATTCTCCTCTTTTGAGTATAAAGTTTTAAGAAGACGTGATTTTCTACCGAATAAAAAAAGGATGAATATTTTTATGCATGTTTTTCAGGAAATATGATTGAATTTTCAAGGGCATTGAAAATAAATGAGAAAAGTGCATGCCGCTTAAGTAGTCATTTTTGCAGAGTATAGATCTTGCATGCAGCCGAAAATAAGTTTTTTCGAAAGCCAACACCCTAAGGTAACTGGATCATTATAGATTTATGCTGCATCATGCTTAGTTTTATAACACTACTTAATTTATCTTTTCGAAACGAGAACGCATTTCGAAATTTTGGTTGACATTTCATGAGTTAGCACATCTACTGTATATTACCAGATAAAGCAACAGGCCTATTCCAATCTGTTGCATGATTTTGAGGCTCATGAATTTGCTGCTAGTAGTGCCCTTAGAACATTACTTTGGATCTTCTTGTTGGTCCAGCATCATCAGCAAACTCTCCACAGAAGCGTATTTATAACTATGACCCATCAGCCGCCCTCAAAATCTGACCGCTACTCCGGCGAGCGAGGTGCTTCACAAATACTGCGGCGATGAACATGTCTGCAGCTTTTGACACCTGCCTGTCCGTTTTTGGTACAGCCCTTTAGATACCCATCATTGACAACGAGAATGTAAGACTGTGAAACTATCTACTTGCTCCACATAAACAACTCAGGTTGTTATCAAAACGACAGTTCAAAAATTCGCCCGTTTAATTCTGTATGCATTACAGCAAAACTTTCCACGCTGCAGATTAGTCTGAAGATGCCCAGACATGGGTGAATTTCCATTTCACTTTTACATTGTACACTCCTAAACGAGTAGAATGCCACTGATCCAGTTGCTGTCTGCGTAAGCTGGATGCTTAAACGCTTCTACCTGCCTTGGTGATTTATGCTAACCTCGGTCGAATGCCATTCTAAACGTCCAACCGTATTTTGGTGGTCATGGGACTGCAAAGATCTGGAGCAAGTACGCCCTGATGTGTGGCGCGGTGACAGTTTCCGAAGATGATTGGTTAATTACTCATCTGCACTGTAGACTGACTTCTGTACACCTGTAGCGAACTCGGAGTGTATAGGGTTGTTTGGATGAAATGGTTTTTCTCGCGCGGATTTGAGATGGTGATGACGTGTCGGTGAAAACAGCCAGTGCCCTTCCTTCTTAACCGCAAACCCCTATCTCCTAACCCGTCGCAGTTCCCTACTCTCTCTCTTTGTGGCCACCTCCCACGCCCCCCCCCTCCTGCAGATGCCCACGGCGACGCGCTCCCCACCGGTTATCTAAAGGGCATGTCAGTGTTATCACTTAATCCGGGCAAGTCACCCCTCTGCTGCAAAGTAATTCTATTTGTACAATCAAGCCTTATTATATATTCCAAGTTTCCTTCTGTTCCCATTAGACACTTTTGCGTCCCCCACCAACCCTTCTCCTACCCTTTCGTATGCATGTGTATGGTGACGCGTTAACAATTCTTTTCAGATGGATCTTAGGTAGGTTTTATACCCAGTGCTTCGCTAACTCGTTGTGTGCTACCCCCGACGTCATCGGTCGCTCCACGCCTGCTTCAGCCGCCCGTTAGTGCGGTGCATGACTCAAGACGATAGGCCAGTGACACCCATCTAATCGGCATCAGCCACACAGTTTTGAGCGTTTATTCAGGGGACATTTTGTGTGACACTCGAAACGACCACCCATGGGGATTTTCGTTCATTTTTAAATGTGTTGTTCAATAAATCCATTGTGACTGAAAGAAACCATGATTTGATGTGGCGAATTGCGATTATTGTTCATCATCTATTCTTAAAAATATCTGACAACATTTTGGCACCAGGATTCATTTTTTTCTATTCCTTGAAAACTGCCGTAATCTCGAGAAAAAAAACATCCGAATAAACGGCGAAGAAAAGGTTGGTTAAGAAAATAACAAAATCAAGGTTGATCACTCTCTTTTTGTGGAGTCGTTGAAGTTTTTTGTTCATCGCTGGGTAACAAACTCCAAGCACCAATAGGAGAGCTTCACGCAGGTCGACTCAGTTCTCATCCGAGAGTGCCAATTGTCTGGGCGTTAGATTACTTGCCTCACCGTCGTGACTGGTTACTTTTAGAAAATAGCATGCTGCACAGTGGACTCGTGGTGGAGTCGATGAGATCCAACGTGTATTCCACGGAACAGCGAATAATTATACATACGCATTTGTATGCATTGTTTTCGTGGACACTGCCAGTAACGCTGCACTTCATAACTGGAAAGCCGACTAGATTAAATATTTCGGCACTCCCGTAGGTCCACGAACATGTGTCGTCCTCGCAGGTTCTGAGCTACAGTTTTGAATGAAATGAAAATATACAGTGTCTGTATGTTCTCATGGAAATGCGAAGCATAGTCACCCGTCGGATTTTTCGCCTTTAATAATGTTTAGCTAAAAATAAGACAGATCCATGTTTAAATGTCCCCTATGCATTACTGACCATATTGTTGACACGATAATGGTCATGAAACGAAGGTTGGGAAAAAGGAACAGTCGAAGTTTTCAAAAACATAAACTGAGCGGTAAAACCTGGACATCGGCACTTTAAAACAAAAGCACACGGGTTTCGCTTGGTTTTCCAAAGCGTAGAGCCCCACTTTCCCAGCTTCGCCGATTTAACGCCATCCTGTCTTTGTCATTGTCGTATAACATACAAACGCACAGTATGCTGAACACGACAAGCATCGTCCTTATTTAAATTCGAAGTCGGAAATCAATTTTCGAATGACGGAGAGTAAGGCTACCATACTTCGAATCTCCTTTGAGCAGAAGTCGAAGCCAACAATGTGTATCATTTCAGAGCCTTGGCACTCCCTTCCTCATCACTGAGTCCACAGATGCGGGCCATTATTTCCCGGATAAACATAAATAAACCAAGTCTATACGGGATCTCAAATATATACCACGCATCCGTCTCAGATTACTGTCGTCTTAAATTAGGTCACAGTAATTGGAAGGTATGGATTTCGACGCTGTAGTCGATGATACAAAAATTGAATTCAAAGCTGAATAATTGTCCCAGCAGAACGAATGAAGAACGGAAACGAACTTTTCGGATGGGAAATAAGTACATAGGTGCAGAGGAGGCGTTCACCATGAGAGGTGTATTGGAGGTGCGACGTTTCGAGTAGTTGCTTCGTCTACACATCTTCAGAGACTGGGATGTCATGCGTACAGCTCTCCTTACATAGCGCAATTGTTTGATATGCGACCCGCCAATGCTGCCTTTGTGGCTGCATCCGACCGGCATGTTACCGGGACCTGAATCGCCCCCGCCTCGCCGGCCGCGGAGACGTCCCCGATAGTTCCGCACCGCGACTGTCCCCCGTTAAGATCAGATCGGGGGGAGGCAGTTGACAGAACAGTCGGCGGCCGACGAGGGCGGGGACGATTCAGGTCACGGTGACACGGCGGCATTGGCGGGCCGTGCACCAAAGTCTGCCAAATGAGGAGACCTGTTCTCATGACTTTCGGGGCTCTGAAGATGGGTAGACGAAGCAACTACTCGGAACGTCAGACCGATAATAAACCCCCTCCTTTTCCTCTGATATGCGACGTGGGAATCGCATTTTTACTTCATCTCGGAATAGGCCAGAAATGTCGTCTTGTGCAGACCTTATGTGAGACAACTCCTAGTAATCTCGTGTTACGGAGCATCCGTAGTAGCCAGTTTAATATTTTCCATGAGCTGTTTAAAATCCTGGAAAGTTAAGGTTTCCCCATTTACTAATATTTTTCCTCAGACATAATTCGGCATCGGACGAATGGAATGCAGATTTGCCGGCCTTCTGACTTTTTCGTTGCCGTATAAATTGTAAACATACAGTCAGATACTCTATGCCGAACCTGAACATCGTTGTCCTTATTTAAATTTGAAGTCGAAAATCAGTCCTCGGAAGACAATGTGTAAGACTACGTACATGGAGACAAGGAAACGCTGAGATTGGAGATTGTCGATATCGGCGGCTCCAAATGGAGCAGTTCCAGTCAAATGTAGAGCACGCATCGTAAGGCGTCTTGTTGAAATGCCCCCCCCCCCGCCTCTCTAGGTGTTCGCCAGTACCCACTGAGCATCGGTTTCTGCCTGTCAATCTCCCGTTTTGTCTGGTCATCTGAAGTTGTTTCATAATTGTCTCAAAGAACAGGATAAGCAATGCAACAGTCTGAAATTGCAAGTTTCTGTAAAAATCCAAAGAATTCTACTAATCCCCAACAGTAAACAAGCAGCATTTACTGGACGTTTTTCCCCTGATCCGTCACTAGTGATTTCATCCTAGAAATACGCTCAAAGGACTTCGTACGCTAGCCCGGGTGTGTTGTTTTGATGTACACTCTCCTGAACTGTCGCATATCAACGTCACTATCAACATCACCGCTCTATCGAACTTACAGTCTAACAGGCGGGGTTCGACAAGGACTGAAGCACATGCTGCAGAAAAAAACAGAAATGTTGTATAGATATGCGATAGGAGCGAACAGGCGAGTTCCAAGAAGCAGTTCAGAAGACGAAGACGTGATCACTGGGAACAAGAAATTTATTGACCCGACGTTTCGGATTCTCTCCCGAGCCTATCATCAGACAGTCTCAGAGAAGGTAATGGTGGCACAATTAGTGCAGTATTCGTAGCACGTGGCTGCTGCGGGACATTATGCGTAATTAACAGACCTCTCAATCACCACTGGGGTCGTAAGTGATGCGATGGTGGCTTGTCAGTCCGCGTTTGAATCGTTAAGGGCCGTGATTTCGTCATGACGGAAATACTGCATTACTTGTACCGCCATAACTCTATCTGGGACTATCTCTGATGATATGCCCAGGAGAGAATCCGAAACGTCAGGCCTAATAAATTTTCTGTTCCAGAGAGATGAGATTTACCCTGGTTTACTGACGTCAAAGCAGCAAACACACCAGTACATGGGGAAGTAACTGAAGGGTCATCAACAGAACGGATAAAACTGAACTAAGCCTGTGAATACCCACCAGAGACAAAAACCGCTTTGTGCAAAAATCCCTTTGAATAAACCACCAAAAATTACACAGCGACAATCAAAAGAATGAGAAGGATTAAATACTGCCTACTGCGTGATTTGGCGTGTATGAGGCGTTAGCCCCAACGATGTAACAACGTGCTACAGGAATCAGATAGGCCTCCGTTTCACATGAAGACGTAAAACCTGCACAACGTTTGTAGCCTTCGACTTCATGCCGCATATTTTAGGTGGCGAAAATATCGTCGTCGACAATTAACGTCCCTGTTTAAGGTTGCAACGTTTATCAGTGTGGGGAGGCTCTGCAGCTTGTTTAAAAAGCACAACGTGTAAATATAATCGGACTGCTATTTCAAAAGGACACACCGGAGGAACTCGAGGGTAGGACATTGCTTGGGGATGAACCCAACGCAGTTGCCGCAGAAGCCGCAGGTCTGGAGAAATTTGACGATTACCGCAATTTGGAGCTGCATAGGGGTCCCCTACCAACATGTTGCCCACGTGAGTAGGAGTGAAAGCAATTTTGTAAATTTTCAATCCAAAGACGTAAATGGCCAACGCAGCGTAGAGTCCCACCGTGACGAAAATTAGAACGGGGACCTGGAGCTGCCTTAGGCAAGTCATTCCCAATCAGTTCATTCGCGGAAGCACTTTAAATGAGCTGGCGCCCGTGGAATCACACAAAGTGCTGACAGCGAAATGAAGCTAGTTGCATATGTCCAATCAAGAGTCTACGCTTGCCAACCATCTGATTGGTTGAAAATACAAACAAAGCAATGTATGTTTGACCAGCGGCATTTGAACTCACCACTGTTGACTGCTATTCGCCCACACTGCGGTGAAAGAGATCACCACCCGGAAATTGCTACATTCCTGTAAACACCAACGTCAATGTCCCTGGAGTGCCCTTCTCCTTCCTATCATGTTTACTTTTCTTCTCATTCGTGAGGTGAATGGACGCAGAAATTGAAATTAAAAAGCACGTCTTTAAAAATTCCACATTTGATCTTAAATGGTAATATTTTTAAACTATGCACCTTTCGAGTGGCTGAACATCAAGATCTCAGTAAGCCCACGTTGAATAACAACGCTCATTGAAAACTGATTTCATCGGGCGGGCGGGGCCAATTAAGAAACACAAAGAGACAGCAAATGGACAATGCTTATTGAACAGTTGTCATTGACCATCCAGGTCCATCTTTCATACTGCGTAGCCAAGCAAGAGGCATTTTTCATTGACAGAAGTTACGATAAAACACTGTAGGTCTTTACTACGGACATAGCAAAACACTGCTAGAAGATAGAAAAAAATCATCAGAAGCGGGAAGGGATTAAAATGCAACAGTTACACTTAGGTGACAGGAAACTCATGGCCATTACCCTTAGTGATCGGTCTCCATGAGCGGCAGATACATCAGCATGATGTCATGACATCGGTCATCTAGAAATTATCTACGACTTCTCCAGTTGATATTTCTGGCATCTAAAGAAAACACAAGATACAAATTCCCCGCTGACTTCAATCCTATACTTCTTGAATTGCTTGCTGCCAGATCAACGTCCTCCCCCTGAAGCTGTGGATTGTCGTTGTATTAGGTTTTACTTGTTCCGTTAGATCACTAACACCTTACCATGTGCTCTCCACTATCCAGCCTGTTTGATACTGGGAATACGTCTTCCCCTTCCCCCTTCTACACGTGACTACAACCTTAACATAAACCCTAACCGCAACATTCTTGACCATAAACCTAGTCGGAACCCTGGAATCTCGCGCAAGGTCAGCGGTAATACGGTGGTACGTCTTCTTGCGACCTGTCGTCTCTCCCTCTCGACCTCTTTAATTGCTGCGTTTCTTTGTGTACTTAGTTTTACGGACAACCTAGAGAATTGTCCTTTTTGTTGATAGCCAGCAAATGAGTCACTATGACAGGATCATGGGTTCCCCTTCTCGGACAGGTTTAAACAAACGTCAATTTACCATTATCTCGCCGTCTCATGCTTGCATTCGCGGTTTCCCCTTCTTTATAAAGATTCAGCTTAGAAAACACACTCACACGAAACTCCTAGGGTGCCGATAATGATTCCGTCAGCTTTCAGCAAAGACTCCACTCCGGGTTCACCTTCTGCAGGATAAAACCACAGACACAATTCGTCGCGTTCCGTCTTGAAAAGCAATACTGCCACTTGTACCCATAGATGTCCTTCATGTGACCGAGCTCGCAGGCCACTACAGCCTTCCTATGCTAACCACTCTGAATGCGGAAACCTGCATGCAACATGATGTCGGACAGGAGGTAGTTATTTTCTGTTCCCTCAAAACTGCCTTTCAGAACACTCCTCCGGATGACTTCCCCCTCCTCCCACCCCTTTTTTGCAAATTCTATCATGACTTAGACAACACGTCCTCAGCGAAACCCGCAGCAAGCTTTCGGCTCACGTCGCCAAATCCTTTGTCACACGTGCACTCTAGGCATAGGCTGGGCTGTGGGCGGCTTATCCACGACACCATGAGCATGAAATAGATTATCGCGGTGGCGCTTGCTCTGTAGTGACAAAGCGGTGTGATTGGGTGGTCTGAGCGCTACCGTAATCAGGGCAAATCTTAGTGTTGGAAGAAGACGGAAGGCACCAGAATAAGGGGTTTAATATATACGGAACTCGAAGTTGTCCTCTCATGCGGCAGTGGCCATTGGTGAAGCCAGGGCTGTTGTTAACTGTGTCCAGTCATATCTGAGAGTCCCTTAGACAGTGGTGGCAGCCGCCTTTGTAGACTCGTAGGCCAAGCCCAAGTGGTAGCCAGTCAGTGTGTGTTACATTTGCCGAGGGGTTCTGTCCCAGTTGCTTAGGTTGCAGTTGCAGGGGTGGTGCGTTTAAGTTGCCACATGGGCGACTGCGGCTGTGCGGACGCAGGTATGCCCGAGCTGTCGGTTGTGTGACTTCAGGTCAGCGCGTCTGGAACGGCTCACTGCAAAAGGGCGGGTGACCTTGAAGCGGCGAGGTCTTGAACAATGATGCCAGACCGGCTGTTCGGTACGCTTCCTGTGAATTTTGAAATGCCTCTGTAGGACCCGGCTGCGGCAGCTAAAAGTCTGCTTACACCAGTTTCATGCCAATGGAACCGTCTGCATTGCCTCGCCAGTTCACCCCGCTCATGTCGCCTCCACTGACAGCTCACACCACCGCGGACGCCTAGGTGGGTGTGCGTTCTCTGGCTAGTTAAGCTTACTGGACCACGACAGACCACCCAGTCACACTGGAGCCAGTGACTATCCGCTGACACCGTAGGAACCTACCACTGCGGTGTCCTCAAACGACTTTGCAGTCTCAAAATAAAATTTGGCCTGATTCTTTGTTACCCTTCTCGGTTGACATTTAGTGGCCTTGTCATCGGCACTCCATTGTGCATTACATATGCCCCAGTAAGAAGGGAGGAAACAACGAATTTTATGTAAAGTTTGAAAGTGATTATATTGCAGCAGAGAAATACTTTTGAAATGTGAAAGAAGGACGAAAAATTTAGTAACATCCAGATCTAAGTGGAGGCGGGTGTTTGATTACCGAGGGAAGGAAGAGAAAAATGGTGTTTAATTGTGGGAAGTGGGCTGCACAATTAGGATAATCGGGGGTGGACATATCAAATTTCTGAGACGTTGCGTGAATGTGTGAGACCAATCACACTTACAACAGGCCACGGAGAGATCGTCTCGGTCTAATATGGGGCCATATGGGGGCTCCGCAAACGTTAGTCGATCTTGAAGAAGAAGAAGAAGAGGAAGAAGAAGGAGAAGAAGAAAGGAAGAAGAAGAAGAAGAAGAAGAAGAAGAAGAAGAAGACAGGATCGCCGGAACACGAGCTTTTTTAGCCTGATGTTTCGGATTCCTGCTCGAATCCATCATCAGAGACAAAAGTTGCGGCTCATTCGACGGGTTCCGGCCACACATTCAAATTCGACGAGGCTGAAATTCTCGCAAGAGGTGATAACCGCGTGAGTCGAGAGCTGCTTGAGTCATGGTTTACTGGCCCCCAGTCTATGAACGAGTCCAATGAACTTCCCCTTCCATACTCGATGCTGAGTCTTCGCCAAGGCGGAGTGATTAGCCACGCGGGGAGCGCACAGGTGAACACTCTTCCCGACACCAGGGTCGGTGCGTCAGATGGTTGAGTAATCATTACACCAACATCCAACGCACGCGATAAAATTGCAGCAATTAAAGACGCCAATTTCGGCCATCAAACAACTATCAAACCAAGTGCAACGATCCCGGATGAAAGTGGGGAGTCGTGAATGTTCATAGGTATGCGGTAGCATGGCGACTGCATCCTATAAATACTGCAGCCCCATATGCATGAACCATCCGTATCTGCTTTTGTCTCTGATGATGGATTCGAGCAGGAATCCGGAACGTCAGGCTAATAAAGCTCTTGTCCGCGCGATCGTGTCTTCTTCTTCAAGACTACTTCCTGGGACTCGTGTCTTCGCTTCTGTTAGTCGGTCTGCACACTCACAAAATTGTCATATTTGGTGGAGGGGATGGTACGCCTCACGTCGCACCATCCACCCCCTTCCATCCTCCTAATCAGATGACTGGTCGACTCGAGGAGCGTACTAGTGCCTGGGAGAAGGAAGGGAGACTGAGATCGACAATGGGTACTGCGTCTGCATGGTGTTCAGCGCATGTTTTTTCGGAGTAAACAATGAGACGACGTCTTAAGCAGCTATGGTGCGTTGAAAGTCATGGCTTGGACGTCTGCAAGCTGACGGATAAGTCGGTCCTCCCCTCAGGACGGTGATGGGGACTGCGACGTCTCCTTCCTAATGTGTTCTCTATGGCACTCACGCACACATGTGCCTTGAACTTCCCCTTTTTTCACGTGTGAAAATCTGGTCGAACGTGCGCGAACGAGGTCGTGTGTGCTGCAAGCACAGATGGACTGTTTAACTTTGTGAACCATTGCACCCTATCGAGCCTTTGGTTTTCTTGACTCTCTCTTAAGATCGAGCTCACCTGCATGGGTAGGGGGCAGAATATGCACGCCTACACTCACCATAAACCAACTCACGCGCATGTGACGTCTACGCGCTCGACTTGCTCTAAGACTTACGGTGGACATCGTCGTTTGCAACGGTCGAACTGTCGCCAGCCAGTCTCACTTATCCATAGCATCACGATAAATGGTAATGAAGGGAGCACCCTCATGTTTTATTCGTTCTTCTGTGCTGTGTTAATTTTTTTGAGACTGATAATGGCTTAAAGTTGTTAGATTTGACCAGTGCATGTCATCTACTCCGTAAGGAAGTCTACCGTATGTTCTGATCCTGAATACGTCCTCTTCTTAATTAAGTGAAGTCATTTCTGCAACCTTTTCAAGTACACCAATCCATCCTCACCTTAGCAATTTGATATCCAGATATGATACTTGTAATTAAGGTTCAATGAAATGATTTGATAAAGCCCAGGAACCCGAAATCCAAATAAAAGATAACCTATGACAATAAGTACCGACTGTCTGTGAATTAGTCCTGTCTTATATAGAGTTTAAGAGAGAATGAAATATGATTTACGCGATTGCACATGGATTCAGTGAATGGTTCTAGTTTCACGGTTTGCGCGAGTTGGATCATTCAATTCATTATTGCGGATAGGCGGATAGGCAACATCTGAAAGGATCTCGATTGCAGTATTTAAGTCAATCAATAATGTGTTTTATTGTCTTCCATGTTTTATTTTAATGTCAAGCATATCCACTGGGGAGACAGTAGTAATTTCTTGGCGAACGATGCCATGGCGTCGTGGTTATAGCTGTCGCTCATGAAGGTCTGTCACCAAGGATATTGTATCTGGGCCTCCGGTCACCTAAGTGAGACTGTCGAATTTTAATCCCATCCCGCTTACGATGATCTCTTCTATCTTCTTGCAGTGTTTTACCCTATCTGTAGTAAAGACCTACTGTGTTTTATTCAAAATTCTGGCTTAATTGAGCCTCTGCCTTGGCTTAGCAGTACGAGGTATGAGCCCGGGTGATCGGTGACGAACTATCGGAAAGTCGAAGTCACTGCAGGACAACTGACGTTAGGTTATGGCAGTACCACCGCCTTTGACGACGATGCCCACAGTGTGATCCAAAGCAAGGTGACAGCAGGCATGGCGACTTGCGCTGCATCAACCACACTCCCTGCTCCTCCCAGGAGAGTCCGATATCATGTGGTTGGTACTGCTGGACCCGCACCTAGGCGTACCATCTCATCCACCTGGTCCATAACAATCACTTGTCCAAGAAGCTAGGTAGTAATAGGTTTTCCTAACCGCACAGGGCTTATATGCGCAATCAACCACTGAATTTATTTTAGTAGTGCTTGTTCAATTTATAAATTAATTGCTGCGTAAACCTACCCTCTAGGTGTTATCTAGGGCACTGAGATAACCGCATGCTTCGAATTATTTCAGTATGACGTTCTAAGTGATAAATTATTTGGTATGAGTTGGCCTTTGGTTTTTGTCCTCCATCCCCCTCTATATAGTCCCCTTTGTCTTACCTATGTTTGGCTTACTCTGGCTCGGTAACAGCACAGAATCTAGGCTTTTACGGCATCTTCGAACGGGTTCTGTTGTCGAACGCGTATGTCGTGAATTACTTGCTCCTGCAAAACTACTTCTGCGCAGACCATCGCATAACAAATACTAAAATGTTTAAATTCAGTTGAGTTTATATGCTATATTTACTCACTAATGGTCGTTAAATTGCCTTTTGGAGGGTGCCCTTCTGGTTTCCTGTTCAGGGGCTTTTACACCGTATTTGCATCCGCGATAGGCGCAGGAATATCTTCCACGTTTTTGAGTCCAAAACACACATGTTATTGAGCCTCGTCTATGTCGGCCCAAATTGCGCGACTCGACACCGTTCCTCCTTTAAGCAGCTTCAATTTCAGTCTGCTCCAGTACGCCTCAATCGTATTAGCTTCTTTTCCAGTGGTCGGATTATTGACATGTTTGGTATGCTTGACTGTAAAGTGCTCATAGCCTTCAGATGGAGGCGCTTGCGCGCATTTACTACTATGCTTCCTTCGGCCGACCAATTCTTTATGACGGCTCTTAGGGCTGTCAGGCGTCTATCGTTTAATTGTCCAGACGGTGTTTTTTCGCCTAGTATCGTGCATATCAACGAGTAAATATTGCCTTCTCAGTCTTCCAACAATATAATTCGGTCGGCTGATCAGTGTTTCGTAAACTTGTACTTCTTCCCGGGACCGCCTACCTGTATTCTTTCCTTCGTTAGGGCGATGTTAGGCACACTGCAATAAAGTGGGCACCATTGCACTACTGCGGTATGACATATTCTGATATCCTTTTTGCAATTTTCATTATTGTCCTGTTGGTTAGCTGACTGTTTTCGAAAATTGAATCCTTTATATGAAGTTGCCTCCTACGACATCGGCCGCCTAGGAACATATATAAATGGGTGTGCAGCCACAATACTTGCTTACGCATTTGAGTCCGCATTGACATTTCGCCAGACCAAAAAACAGCCCCTTTGCTTGGCAGTTTTTCACCATCTTCTCCGACTTTATAGTCTCGATTATTTCCTCCGCTTTCGACATCAAATCAGGATGCTGTTGTGTGCATTTTCCGCGACCTGGAACCGATATTCTGTATTTTGAAAAGAAAAAACGTAACTTCCCTTGACCTGGGTGATCGGTGGCAACAATCCGAAACAGTCACCGTCTATTTGCGGACTATTTAAGATTTTTCAGTGTCTCCACCCGTCCAATAAAATCGGTTTTAAATGCGCGTTGTTTTTGAACGTTGACTTCTTGAGATCTTAGTGTTCCGCCACTCAAAAAGTGCACAGTTTACAAGTATACCATTTAAGATTTAACGAGTGATAGTTAAAGACCTGCTTTTTAATTTCAATTTCTGGATCCCTACATCTGTAGGGAATCTAGAAGAAAAGTAAAGTTAAAATAATGGGCAGGAAAGCCGAATTATAAGGCCATCGACCTCAGAGAGCTTACAGCAATGTGACAATTTCTGTCACGAGACCACTTGCACCAGATCCGGAGCGAATGACAATCAGCTGAGGTGAGTTCAAATGCCGCTGGTCAAACATACATTGGTTTGTTTGTATTTTCAACCAATCAGATGGTTGGCAAGCGTAGACTCTTGATTGGACACACGCAACTAGCTTCATTTCGCTGTCAGCTCTTCGTGTGATTCTACGGGCGCCAGCTCATTTAAAGTGCTCCCGCAAATGAACTGACTGGGAATGACTTGCCTAAGACACCTCCAGGTCCCCGTTCTAATTTTCGTCACGGTGGGACTCTACGCTGCGTTGGCCATTTACGTCTTTGGATTGAAAATTTACAAAATTGCTTTCACTCCTACTCACGTGGGCAACATGTTGTTAGGGGACCCCTATGCAGCTCCAAATTGCGGTAATCGCCAAATCTCCCCAGACCTGCGGCTTCTGCGCCAACTGCGTTGGGTTCATCCTCAAGCAATGTCCTATCCCCGAGTTGCTCCGGTGTGTCCTTTTGAAATAGCAGTCCGATTATATTTACACGTTGTGCTTTTTAAACAAGCTGCAGAGCCTCCTAACACAAGGCTTTAATCACAGTTAAACGTTGGAATCTTAAACAATGGCGTTTATGGAGGACGACGATATTTTCGGTGCCTGAAATATCCAGAATGACGTCGAAGGCTAGAAACTTTGTGCAGATTTTGCGTCAGCAAGTGAGACGGAGGCCTATCCGACTTCTGTTGCGCCGTTGGGGTTAACGTCTCCTACACGGCAGTATGCAGTATTTAATCTTTCTCATTTTCTTTGTTATCTGTGTATAGTTTCCAACAGTTTATTCATAGTGCATTGTACGCAAACCGGCTTTTGGCTCTTGTCGGTGTTCCAGAATCTAGCCAAGTCTTGTCCATTTTGTCAACGTCCTGTGCGGATCTACGAGTGTGTCTGCCGATGTGGCGTCAGTAAATCAAGACAACTTTCATTTCATCATTTTCGCGCAAAAGGTACTTTGGTCTTTGTTCGAAACCGCCCGTTAGGCCACAAGTCGGACAATCCTCAACAGAAAAAATTTCCTTTCTGCACAGAATGTGTCCACGTAATTTCATCATGCGAAATTTTCATAGACGTGAACGAAATTACATATTGCGATGTGTTCGGCCACTTTCCTGCACCATACCTGTCCTAGGCTTAGGTTTCATATGTGAGCGTGTTTTTTCTTGAGAGGAGACTAAGCTACCCTCGAGGGTTCTGTTAAAACCAAGAGTCTTATCAATCGCCAAATGTTCGATTAGCAAACCCGTGTGACTTCGTGCTTTAAAGTCCACTAATACCGCAGATGGGCAATCCTTCCTCTAAACGAACCGAAATCGTTTTGAAATTAGGAAAATTATATGCGCTGTCCAAGAAATGGCTACGATCGAGTGATCAGTTTAGGTTTTGAACATGTAAAATATTTCTTATCATGATGTCTAGTTTCCGCGTGTGGAAATGGGAAAAGCAAAGCACAAGCAGTTACAGCAAAATACCAGTATTTATCTGGCCACTCTGTCGTGCATTGATAACCGTAGAACACAGCCCAAAAGTGAGCAAAGACAGAAAAAATGACCGTACTAAAAATAGAAAGGCATTTTCTTACGTTTGTGGTAGAAAAATATCAGCACGTTTTAGACACTTCAAAGAAGCGGTCAAAAGTATCGACTTTTTTCCTGGTCTCACCATGTAGAAAATTAAAATACGCAGACATCCGTCCACGGAAAGCAGTATTAAAGCACTCTTTAAAAAGGTTGCCTGTTAGAGAAATTTTTCTAATTGATGTAGGGCATAATGTAAACTGACTTTTTTTGTGGGCGTTCATTTTATTCGACTATAAGGTTTCGTGTCTAGGGGAGGCCTCAAATGTGACCTAGACGACATTCTACATTAAAAATGCCTAAGCACTCGCTACTTCGGTAGATGCCTCCAAGAGGTTTAATATATCAGAGGTTTAAACAAACACATAATATAGGATCTGGCGTTATGGACATTCGATTGAAAACACTGAAAACCATTAGTTATTCATCGGCATTTTATGGTCGATCTAAAACTCAGCGTAATCCAGAACAAATAAAAGTGCGAAGAAACTTCATGAAGAAAATTTCGCGTTATATGCACAGAACAGTATATTTACGATTACACCTGTTGATTCTAATTAAACTTATTGATCACTGACCGGTCTGGAAACATGCGCCTTTATAAAACTTTTGTTCCCATGACGTCCTTATCGGCGAAATCAAGCAAAGTCGCATTTGCCTTATTGAACCCCATCTCAGTTAATTCAAAATAATAGAGAATACGACGAATCCTCGGGAAAGCGTTTTGGAATCTACACTCAGAATATAGGCTGCTGACAACTCGCCCGACCTGGAATTACGCGAATTCTCAGAGGCTATTTAAATGTAAACATCAATAAAATATAATTTCCGGAGGTTATTCCATTTATTCTGTCATACTGAGTCAATGTTTTGCATGGACGGACTTTCTGAACGTATATAACTGAAGTTTAAGCAATTACAACCGTTTTTGACGTTTTCGGGAGTTTCCGCTTTTCGAAAAAAAACTCGATTTCTCTAAACTATGCGGGATTACCCGTAATATTTCCTTTATGTTTTTAATTCCCTTGAAGTTTTTATTTATTAACATGCACATTGCGTCCGCGCACTGGCGTCGGTTTGTGAGTGATTAGCAATCACTCGTTAAGTCCGAAACCTTTTACGAGTTAGGTCACCAACTGCAGTAATTTGTTGTTTCGTGGACTGCATTTTGCATCGCATCGACCCCTCCACGATTCCATTGTGAAGCAGGATTTTTTTTAAATAACCAGTCATGACAGTGAGATAAGTAATCTAACGCCCAGCAAATTGGCACTTTCTGATGAGAACTGAGTCGACCTGCATGATGCTCTCCTATTGGTGCTTGGAGTTTGCCACCCAGCGATGAACAAAAAACTGCAACGATTCCACGGAGAGAGAGAGAGAGAGAGAGAATGATCAACCTTGATTTTGTTATTTTCTTAACCAACCTTTTCTTCATCGTTTATTCGGATGGTTTTTTTCCCGAGATTACAGTAGTTTTCAAGCAATAGAATAAAGTACAATCCTGGTGCCAAAATGTTGTCAGATATTTTTAAGAATGGATGATGAATAATAATCGCAATTTGCCACATAAAATTATGTTTTTTTCAGTCACAATTGGTTTATTGAACAACGCATTTTAAAATGAACGAAAATCCCCATGGGTGTTCGTTTCGAGTGTCACACAGAAAGTCCCCTGAATAAACGCTCACAACAGTGTGGTTCATGCCAATGAGATGGCTGTCTGATTTCGTCAGTCATCAAATGGCCTTGTTTCATCATTCATGCCCTTTCCGTTTACCTGAAGCCACTCCACTTTCACACGACTTACTCTGATCAATAATGTTGAGTCGACGACACTGAATCGTGTCGTTTTTAGCGCAAGGGTCGGTTGCCGAACGCATATTTGTCTAGGCTTTCTGCTTTGTTTTGTCACCTTCCGTTATAGTCTTCCGCCTGTCTTAAACCCGGTAGCCGTTCACACAGTCAACCTCGGCAACCTGTTTTCCACAGCGTCGCAATCTCTATTTCCATGTGGTTATGTAATTTTTCACTGTGCTGAATGTAGGGGGCACTATGTTCGACTTTGTATATTCGAATTGCTCACTTAAATCTAAAATTGCCCAACCCCACTTGGCGACGGTGAGTTATCTAATAAGATGGGCTCAGAGGACCAGGTTTATTATGACTCTGATGCTTCGAAGAGCTTGATCGGCACAGCCTTGCGTAAAAGGCCCTTAATCCAACAGAAGAAGAAGAAGTGGCATGCCGCGCTGGTCGGCCCCAAGCTGATCAATTTCTCTTTTCTTGCTGCCCCCGCCCTTCGAGGGATGTTTGAAGGGTTTTTTTTAAGCTGTAAGCCTTGTGGGGGGTGATTGAGACTCGGTTGGGGTTGGTCGGTCTGACGACCCTTTTTCTGCCTCTTTGAGTGAACTCGTCGTCTGACTGTGTCTTCGCGGCCTTAATTTCTGTATGCTCATCTAGTTCTGAGCTTTGTGGACATAATGACGCAGGACTTTGTAAGCTGCAGGGAGGTCCAAGCGTACCCTATTGATGGAGTTGGCACCTGAGTTCCACGCCTCAAGTGTTATCCGTTCTGCCTTTAAGTTGGCCGGGCTTAAGATGATATCTTCCTGAGTTTTCTCCTTTTCATACTATCAATCAGTGACACACGACAGTCTGTCCAACTACTGCCGATTTGGCGTAATGTCCCACAGTCCGCTCTTCTGCCTTTCACAAATGCATTCGCATTTTACATCTAGCAGTCATTAAGCGGAACAGTGGGACCCGTTCAGTAGACCAACACTGACGACATCCCTTTCTACCATTTCAAACCGGTGGCCGCCTGCGTTTGCCAATTTGCGGGCACAGGGAACCACCGTGCGTACTCGCTTATGCCTACGGGCTTTCAGCAAGTTCTAATACCTGCTCAATTGCATGACGTATCGACGTCATGATTTATAACCGCCATACTTAGGCGCAAACATCATTGCCTATTGTACACTTACTTACTGATAATTCATTACATTCATTTTTCTACACTTAACGGCGGTTTCCTGCCATTCTGCAATAGGTAGTTTGTTAACCTATAAACCAATGCAGACCTCTTATTATGAAAAGTCAGCCACGGCAGAGTTCCTACCCGCTGCTCCTGTACGTCGGCTTTGTCTCCAACACGCGTATAGTGGTTCTGCTTTGGAGAAATCTGACTAGGTATCGCACTTGACGTCCTTATTGAAGTTATGGAGAAATTACTCAGTATTTTAATGACAGCTCACTACTTACGTAACCAAATAAATACGAAACGTTTATCGATATACGCATAGATATAGAACATTACAGGGTTCAGTACGGGTGATTTTCCTCGAGGTTCCTTCTAACATTTGTTGGCCTACTCAAGTTGCATTACTTGCCGTGGCCTCAATCGGTAGACTTCCGAAGATGAAGTCGTTTCAACTGGACGAAGCACAGCTATGTGCGCGGGGACAGCTTCCTGGGCCACCGCCAAGTTATGTGTTTTCACGCAGAACCACAACCGATACTACACTTCGTCCACGTGTTCCCAAACTGCTCTGCCGGATACTGACCCACTCTCACGTAGTTTGAGCTTCTATCAACGCAAGAACGCGTTCGTGTATCTTCCAGTCGTGGAGTTAACAAAATGCCCCGAATGGTTTACAGTGTGGTGATTATCGCCCTTTGATGGCAGGCAGGCAGGTCTATGCTTTCCACTGGTCGGTTACGATAACATTATCCCTATCCATCCATTTCACCATAATATCACTCAGTGACAGTCAATTCCTGTCTCTCACCTATTCATATAGGTCTCGCTTGTCTGACGTGTCTTATAAGCTCAGTACCCGATTTAGTCACATCCTCCATGCTATACAAACTCTTATTCTATTAATTAACGTTTCTTTGACTTGGACCTTTACACCAAGTGCTCCCAATCGCTTTGCTCCCTTCAACAGCGCGGCGTACCATGCCACTACATGTATAATTACCTATCCACACCGCTTCACTCGCGTTCTGCATATGAAAACTAGGCGAGCATTCATTATCTAGCATATCGTAAGCCTACTATTGGGTTGGCCCAGGAGCTCAGGCGCTTTTCAATTATACAAAATATTATCCTATTCTTAGAGACCCTTCACGGAATTATTCAATTATTTATTTCCTTTCGTCGTTCACAATCTGCTTCCAAAGTTCAGGCAGTTTTTTCAGTACTGGGCTTGAGTGAATCCGCGGGTTTTGACGCAAAAATAGTCGGTCCAATTGTAAAGTTCACCGTAGTTATTGAAGGAAACTCCGATTACATTGTCTTCGAGTAACCAATGATGGTAATCTGGTGGAGTAAGGGCCCGAATATATGACGGATGTAAAAGCATCTCCCAACCAAGCTCGTCAATGAAATTTTGGCAATTTTTATGACGTGAGGCTTGGCGTGATCATCCTACACAATGACACCATTTCGACCATTTGGGCTTTTTTGTTGAATTGTTTAATCTAAACGGCAATGCTGTTAAAAGTAAAACTCTGCATTAATGATTTGGTTCCTTTCAAATCCATATCCCACCAATCACATCTTACGAGGATTAAGATAAGAGTTGGTTTGAGGTGTTGCTTGCTTTTGGGCTGAGCCATTCTTTTCTTTCTTTTATATTCTCACATAAGCATTACTTTTCATCGTCAGTAAGGATAAGCTTCAAAAATAGTGCCCGTTGCTGACTGACGAGTCATTGTTGGTCAATAATGAAGCGCAAAACATTTGCACGCTAAATCTTGTTGTCCACACTAAAACCAAGCTTTTGGATCGATTGCAGATGTCGAGCTATTGCTGATTTTCCGCATTTCATCTGTCCAGCAAAATCCTGAATTATTTAGAGGGGATCTGTGTGGATTAGAGCATTAATGCTATCCTCATCGAAGACTGACCTGCACCGAAAATGCGGAGCGCCGTCATACCGAAATCGCCTTCTTTGAAACTACGAACCATCTCTGAGCTGTTCTTTCAGCGATAGAAACTTCCTCGTAAGCAACACAGATGTTTCTAATGCTCTCCAGTGCTTAGAGTCTTCTATAAAACTCTATGAACCCGCTTGAGCAGTCACCTTACTGTGTCATATTTGGTGGATTCCAGACGTTACAGTAGGTTGGGCGGGTTACTGGACACAAATGTGATTAAACTCGCGTCGTCCGGCTGGGACACGTAGCTCAAGCGGTTAGAGCGTTGGCTGTTCTGCTCCCCCTCACGCACCTGAGCCCGGTGTTAAGACAGAGTCAAGAAAACCTGGGGCGAGTTTGGACACAGCGGCTAACACAATTAAACGGCCAGTCTACACGAGGCACATATACACCCACCTAGTCTGCGCACGATGGACCAGGCTTTCACAAAACCAACAAAGGGACGCTTCGGATAACAAGTGAGCGACGGTGCCATAGAGGTTATCCCATCCCCTGTTATTGCCTCGAACCTATTGAATACCGGTTGTTTGTCGCCACGCGACGACCTGTGAGCCTTAAATCCTTTGCTCCCACGGCAAAAAGGGGCGCCTGGCCTACAATCAGACCGGGTCGCCTAGAGTCACTTCGACTTTACTCCAGTAGAACATATACTTAGATAGCGCAGGTGAATGTACCATCTTGACGTCCTCTCTCACAATGAAATTGCAGATGCAAACCAGCAAGTGTAGACGGTCGGTACGTTTATTTAGTCAGTCATAGAGATCTATCTTCCTTTTGAGGTAAGGGGCATATGGCCAAAAGAGGAACCCTATTCCAGGAAGTCTTTTGGGTTATTTTAATTCATTCTATGATGGAACACTCATGATTGGATGAGAAAGTTTGGTCAGCCCAGTACTGATTCTGCCCCATTCATAAACAAATGAAAGCGCTTTGAAATTACAACGGCGCGCTACGAATCATGCCTTCGAGGACCACCTATTTACGGACGAACTCGACCCCATCGAGGACTGAGGGTCAGGTCTCAATGGTTCCTCGGTACAGACTGTATGGCACTTCCGCTTCCTTGGAGTCCGAGTTACCCCCTCAACGCAGTCCAGCGTATGTGGAGTCAGGGTCAACTTTGTATGAGGCCTGCTTAGACGGTTGCTTTTATCAGCCACTGAGTCCGCATCAACTTCCGATAGCGTTAACTTTGAGTTGGAATTATAGGCGGGGGAGCAGGGTGGAGGGAGTGAAGGAGATGCTTCGAAAGTCTGTCCCAGTATAAACGAATCCACGCGCCAATCACGAGTGTGTCAGCCTCGTGGGACAGTGGTTGATACCGTGGCTTGTGTTGATCCAGTTATCGTCTTTTCATGGCGTTAGGAAGCAAAACATGGAACTATTTTCAGAAAATCTGAATACGAAATGATTTGGGACTTTAAGAACTTGCAACGCCCTGAAAGTGCTAAAGCCTGGTCTTTTTCAGCTATAACGCCTCAATAAGGTGTATTTTCCCACGGAGGCCTCCCCAGAAGGGAAGTATATGTTAATTATTTTCAAGAAACATTTTCAAGAAACATTGAACACTAATCGAGTCCAGTGCCGACGAGACTTTTCAAATGAAAATGATCACGTCGTGGTCTAAGCGTTAAGTTTTGATTATAATCGAAGCTTGGGAATGCTGTAAACCCAATTTGGCCCTCGTGTTTATCGAGAATATTTGTAGATTTAATAAAGGCCTTATACATTTGGGCACGTACTTCCATTCTGTTATCTTATAGCAGCGTATTTGGCAATGGTTCAATGAATTACTACCATTGTTTTACAATCACATCTTTGTTGCAAGAATGCAGAGAGTGTGTTTTCGGGAACGATACAATCTATATATATAAAAATGGAAGGTTTTTTTTTCTGTGTTATATCTAATCTCCGAAAGTACTGCACCGATTGCGCTGAAATTTGGACACAACCCGCCCCGCGCCTAGGGCCGGGTTTTTGGCTGTTCAGTTGTGCAATTATGCCGATGGTATGCCTCTGATGGGTCAAAAACCGGATTTTTTCCGGCATAACAACGCCACCTGCTGCGGCCACTTGACCTACATCGCGCGCGGACACATGTGCGCCCAGACTGTGGCCACTTGACCGACATTCGCTCAACCACACGTGCTCAGCCCGACAGCCGCGCTCACCCCACCACCCACCCTGCAGGCACTTGAGTAGGACCTCCACCCTCTCTGGGCCTCCAGAGCAAACCACTCCTGGGGCAAAAAAAGCACGCAACACTTGGACGCCACTTAAAATCGTCCCACAGCCCACATAATAGGGCCGTCACCGCTGCCTCGGGGATTCTCGGGGGTGAGGACCGGATGCAATTAACACCAGACACCACCCCCCGCACAACCCACATAATGGGGCTGTCGCCCAATGTCAGCTCAGTATTGTGCAGCTCGGCTATCGGAAGCCCGGTTGCGGTCGCGGCGACCGCGTTCTGCAGCTTCTGGCCTGCTTCGTTCACAACAGGATGAACATAGCCAGCTGGGAGTGGCCGAATGGCGCCAGCGAGGAACAGCAGACGAGCGCCAAACACGACTCCGTGCTCAGCATTCACGCAGTCTGATGCTGTTGTAAACGACGGTACGACAACAACCGTTGGATGACTGGTGATTTTAGGGTAAGGTGGTACCATATATACCGGCAGTCGGAGACCGAGTCCGACGCAGCATCCATCTACTTTTCGGGATGGTACCGATGGATATCACTTCAACGTTAGGATGATAAATCCAGTCAGTGACGAGGTAACGCACATGAAATGCAGCGCAATGAACCACTTCTCCTACCGACTTATTATACGACAGAATGTAAGTAATCCCCTTTTGAAATGCTGTAAATTGCTTCATCACTACATTGTGGATGTGCATGCAAAAATCGAAACTGAACGCCTGCTTTTCATTCGCTTAAATCAGACCAAGCTGCGCTCTGAAGGATACATTCCTTTGCATGATGCAGTTGTAAACGACGGTAACACAGATAAAGTTGTAAGACTAACGCTTTTGTCGTCCACATACACAGACAGTCCACGCCATATGTTCGAGTACGCTCGAGGTGCAATTGCTTACGTTTGTCAGTACGGACGTCCAGACCTACTCATTACATTCACAGGCAATCCAGCTTGGGGGATGTTTATCAGCTCTTACCTCCAGGGCTATCGGCAGTAAATAGGTATAACATCACAGAACGTGTTTTTGGGAAGAAACTGCAATTGCTGATGAACTTCATAGTGAAACACGAAATGGTTGGGTCTGTGCGCTGCTGGAGGTATTAGGTGGAAAGGCAAAAGCGGGGACTGCTCCATGCACATGTCCTGATCTGGCTCTATAACAAGATCGCTTCCAACTAAATCGACGACGCAATATGCGCCTACTTACCTGATATCGACGTCGACAATGATTTGCATGAAGTTGTGGCGAAGAATATGATACATGGACCTTGGATGCACTGAATCTCAATTCTCTAACCCCCCCCTCTCCCGGCATGAAAGACGGAAGTCCCTTATACCGAAAATGATCAGCGGAAGACATCGGCAAATTGGCAACCGTACGAATGCGAATCGGTGACATAGAAGTCGGTAACCGCTGGGTTGTTTCGTATTCGCCCTTGCTTTTAAAAGTAAAACGCAGCTCACATAAACGTGGAACACTGCAATTTTGAGAAATGAATTAGGTACATTTGTAAGTACGTGAATAAAGGCAACGGCATGGCCGTTTTCCGCCTGCAACACGAAAGGAGATAAAGGGATGCGGACACACAACAAAATGAAATCGCACAGTATTGGGCTGGAAGATGCGTCAACGGCAAGAAATCCATGTGGCGAATTCTTTCATTCCCTATCCATGTACGAAGTCCAGATGCTGTTCGCTTGCGGTACAGTTAGAGAATGGGCAATGCGTTTACTTTACCGATGCAAACGCGCGAAAGGTTGCCTTAGGTCCACTGGTAACAACATTAACTGCGTTCTCCACGTTAAGCCAAAGTGACGCGTTTGCGAAAACACTGCCGCATTCGGAAGTGCCTACGTATTACACAGGGAATGTGTGTAGAAAATCATCCGAACAACGCAAACGAGGAGAGCGACTGGACGGACACGCCGGCATACTCAAAGGAACTGCGATAGGCAGACTGCATATCGTGCATTCCAATCTTACTTCGCATGGTGTTGATGAATGTGCCACGTCCAACGTCTTTCCAGCAATTGAAATCTGTCAACGGCGCTACGCATTCCACTTTCAGCAGTGCGTGTCAGGCTCTTCAGTTACTGGAGAACGATCAACAGTGGGACGTATGTATTAATGACGCCTGCAACACGTCCCATCCACATTAAATTCATGCATTGTTTGCAGTCATATTGATCGTATTCTCACCTTCATCTCCAACAGATTTACCGGAAAAATAGAATTTGCAGATGGCTTGCAATCAAAACATTCAAAAGCTAAGACTAAGGCAGAATGGCATTTACGACCAAATACTGCGGAATGTCAATAACGGGGTTGGAGGAAACTTCTTCCTATATGTGCCAGGAGGGACTGGCAAAACGTTCCTACGACGACCGATTCTGACGGCAGTTCGATCCAATAAATGACATAGCCCTAGCACTTGCATCCCCGGAATAGCTGCAACTCTGTTACCTGGCAGAAAACCCGTTCATTCAGCTTCGAAATTGCCTTTGAAGTCGCAATTCATTGAAACCCCTGCGTGTAACATTTCCAAAGCATCCGGCATGGGAAAAGTACTGCAGAAATGCAAACCTATTGTTTGGGATGAATGCACAATGGCGCAAAAAAGCGCTCGAGGCCCCTGATCGAACACTGCAGGATTTGCGAGGAAACAGCAGACCATTTCTGATGCACTGCTACTGCCCGCAGGAGACTTCAGGCCACCACTGCCTCGATCGAAACCGGTGGACGAAATAAATGCCAGCCGTCACCACTTACTGCGGAAATCTCGAGCGCGGCTCAGTGCAGCAAACAGTTGCCCTGTCTTCGACAGCGGCTAGAAGGACAATCTTGGGTTTCTCACATAATACGTACCGCCAACCGGCGGCCCTTACATTTTTCTTAATTGGGAACGTGCTCCTTCCTCTTTCCCTTACTCCCCAATTCATCCGATTGAGCCACAGCAACGCGGCATAATATTAAATAAATATAATAAACCCGGCTGCAATATTAATTACCGTGCAGCATAATTCCAAGATATTTTTGCTACTTCGGGATGCCGGCTTTTGAACGAACTTCCTTCCGGCCGCCTGCAAAAAGTGCACGCTGTAAAAAATGGCTACATCAGTGGCGTGAATTCTTCCCATTGATTTTCGATGCCCTTGTAGTTCAAATATATCTCAGAAAACAAGCATAAAAATATTCATTCCTTTGCTCATTTGGAAGAAACGTACGCCTTCTTCAAATTTCGTACTTGAAGAAAGGCTATAACTCGGTTTTAGAAAACATTTCTATATTCCCTAATAAATTTAAACCCGACCCGCCGTCGCACTTGCATTCAGAGTTTCTAAACTATAGGCTGCATATTTTCGGTCTACGGAAAATCGTACATTTATATGCAGTATTGAAATGAGATCATATGATATCCACAAAATTTAACGGTGAATTTGAGCCTTATTGAAAACTTTAAAAGCAACACTAGTAAATGCAGAGAGACGATGTTTTATGAACGGGCATTTCATGTTCTTGGAAAATTTCGAAATTAGACACTTTTTAATGTCGAATTATGAATTTGATGAAGATGTAAGTTTCTTCCAAACAAGTAGAAGAATGGATATTTTTGTACCTATGTCATCTATATATATAAAAATGGTAGGATTTTTTTTTCTGTGTTATATCTAATCTCCGAAAGTACTGCACCGATTGCGCTGAAATTTGGACACAACCCGACCCGCGCATAGGGCCGGGTTTTTGTCCGCTCAATTTTGTAATTATGCCGATGGTACGCCTGTTATGGGTAAAAAACCGGATTTTTTCAGCCATAACAACGTCACCTGCTGCGGCCACTTGACCTACATCCGCGCGGACACATGTGCGCCCAGACTGCGGCCACTTGACCGACATTCGCTCAAACGCACGTGCTCCGCCCGACAGCCGCGCTCACCCCACCACCCACCCTGCAGGCACTTGAGCAGGCCCTCCACGCCCTCTGGGCCGATGCAGTATGGGCCGCCTGAGAAAACCACCCCTGGGGCAAAAAACACGCAACACTTGGACGCCACTTAAAATTGTCCCACAGTCGACATTATGGTGCCGTCACCGCTGCCTTGGGGATTTTCGGGGGGTGAGGAGTGGATGCAGTTAACACCAGCGCCTGCCTGCCCCCCGCCGCACAACCCACATAATGGGGCTCTCGCCCAATCTCAGTTCAGTATTGTGTAGCTCGGCTTGCGGAAGCCCGGTTGCAGTCACGGCTGCCGCGTTCTGCAGCTTCAGGTCTGCTTCGTTCACAACATCATGACCACAGCCAGCTAGGAGTGGCCGAATGGCGCCAGCGAGGAACAGCAGACCAGCGTCCAACACGACTTCGTGCTCAGCATTCACGCAGCCTGATGCTGTTGTAAACGACGGCACGACAACAACCGTTGGAAGAGTAACGATTTTAGGGTAAGGTGATACCATCTATACCGGCAGTCGGAGACCGATTCCAACGCAACATCCATTTACTTATCGGGATGGAACCAATGGATATCACTTCAACGATAGGATGATAAATGCAGTCAGTGACGAGGTAACGCACATGAAATGCAGCGCAATGAACCCCTAATCAAACCGACTTCTGATGCGACAGAACGTAAGTAATCCCCTTTTGAAATGCCGTCAATTGCTTCATCACTACATTGTGGATATGTATGCAAAAATCGAAACTGAACGCCTGCTGCGCTCTGAAGGATACATTCCTTTGCATGATGCAGCTGTACACGACGGTAATACAGATAACGTTGTAAGACTAACGCTTTTGTCGTCCACATACACAGAGAGTCCACGCCATATGTTCGAGTACGCTCGAGGTGCAATTGCTTATGTTTTTTCAGTACGGGGCGTCCAGACCTACTCATTACATTCACCTGCAATCCAGCTTGGGGGATGTTTATCAGCTCTTACCTTCTGGGTAATCGACGGTAAATAGGTATGACATCACAGCACGTGTTTTCAGGAAGAAACTGCAATCGCTGATGAACTTCATGGTGAAACACGAGGTGGTTGGGTCTGTGCGCTGCTGGATGTATTAGGTGGAACGGCAAAAGACGGGACTGCCCCATGCATATGTCATGATCTGGCTCTATAACAAGACCCCTTCCAACGAAATCGACGACGCAGTATGCGCCGAATTACCTGAAATCGACGTTGACAATGATTTGCATGAAGTTGTGGCGAAGAATATGATACATGGACCTTGGATGCACTGAATCCCAATTCTCCAACCCCCCCCCCCTCCCCCGGCATGATAGACGGAAGTTCCTTATACCGAAAATGATCAGCGGAAGACATCGACAAATTGGCAACCGTACGAATGCGAATCGGTGACATAGAAGTCGGTAACCGCTGGGTTGTTTCGTATTCGCCTTTGCTTTTAAAAGCAACTGCAGCTCATATAAACGTGGAACACTGCATTTTTGGGAAATGAATTAGGTTCATTTGTAAGTACGTGAATAAAGGCAGCGACATGGCCGTTTT